AATTATGGGTAACCGAAGAACAGCCGATTAAGAGGTACCAGGAACATTATGGACGATGGAATATTCCAGGGGGACTTATTGGGATATTCTATGTAAAGTGTGCTGGGCAAAGTTATTTAAGTTATAGATTTGTAAAGAAGTAGTATAAGCCGTTATTTTGTAACGGGCCAATAGCCGGTTAGAAAGTTGTAATTTGTCACTAGTCGGCTAATAGCCAGATCGTGGGGCTCGTAGCCATCTACTCGCACTCGGCCAGTAGCCAGATATTCGGCTAGTAGCCGGATATTCGGCTAGTAGCCAGATATTCGGCTAGTAGCCAGATACTCGGCTAGTAGCCAGATATTCGGCTAGTAGCCAGATATTCGGCTAGTAGCCAGATATTCGGCTAGCAGTGCAGCACTCACTCAGCAGGGCAGTCAGCCAATATCCTGTAAGTAGCCGGCCTGTAGCCTGCCTGCTAGTAGCCGGTTCGTAACCAGTTCTTATAATTTACTCTTTTAAAAGTTTCTTTCTTTAAAATACGATAAAAACAATAATATCATGTCCCATTTTATGTGATAATCGTGTGTTAATATCAGTTATACCCACATTATTACATTACAATACAGAGGTACAAGAAGGGCTACGGAGCGCAGAGGAGTGAGGGTATCAGTGAATGAAAAGCAGGTGATCTCTATTTATCAGATACTTTTCAGGGATCAGTGTAAACTGTTACTGGTGTGACTTGTAACATGGACCTTGAAACATTATGTAAATTTGTAATCTAGGCTGGAGATCTTGCATGTAACAATAGCATCTTGTTACGGGGCCGATTCGGTGGAACAGGTTTACTTAAAACATTATCATCAGATTAAACAGTATCATCAGATTATCATCAGATTCTCAAGATGAGCATAAAGGATAAATTACAATTTAGTGTTATGTTGATGAGTATAATTGGGCTGGGAACTGAATGCTATGTAAGCGAAACTAACCGCAGAACGCCATCCAGTCTATCCAATAGTATCCATGATATCCATTTACAGAGATACCAGTTCATTACAGCAGATTACACCCTCAACACACAATGGGCCCTCTAGCACTTACAACGCGGCACTTTTGTGATAGACAGGAAAAACCAGTTGAACAGCATACCTCCTGCACGGATAGAGGAGATATTCATCTTCTGTGGAGTGTAATTCTAGACAACTTACTCTCAGTGGGAGTCACGTATCTTGTTTCAGGTGAGAAGCGATACAGAAGGTGATTCGTTTAGGATACAAATTGATTTAGAGTTTACCCAGAGGACATGGTATTTTGGAGAATGGTCGGATTAGAGTCCGTAGAGGTTTAAGGAAACTGTGTATGGTGTGTAAGGAGAGGTCTGTATTGCTGTGGGGGTCACCGGAAGGTAGGTCATGAGTACCTATTTAGTACCTATTTCTGTGAGGGAGCATCAAAAGTGTGTGACGTCATGAAGTCATGAAGCTATAACGTGCCATGCGGTATGGTGACGTAGCAAAAATGTATGAACGTTAACTTGTTCGTTACAATTATTATCCAGAGAGGGTATACTATTACTATCAATTATAAACTCTTGAAACTGGACAATATGTAGTAGATGATGAGGAAGAAAGATCTGATTTGTTCTGGAGAATCAATAGAAACGTGACAATATCATCAAGACAACCTGACTTTATTTCTGCGGAAACCAATTCATATCTAAGACGAAAGAAAATTTTTGGTAGTCAGTAGGGATATCAATATAAACATATGATATGATATTACTTAGACCTAAAAGTCTAGAACTGGACCTATTGTCAGTAGGAAAAAACGGGTTTTCCTTAGCACACACCACGTACAGGAGTATCATTACCACAGGGTTATTAGTTGGCATTTACACCCAGATCTGTTATTAATCAAGACTAGTAGGACAGTGTAAACGAGGGGATTATGAGATAGCCTAGTTAATCAGGTGCGAGGATTAAAGTGTATCCTCGATGTAATCAGTAGATCAACTGTGAGAAAGTTACATTCTAGGCTCTAGCACACACACAGCCTACTACTCACTCGCTGGGTCAGACAACTGTACTAGTAGATGGTATCCTATAATAATGGCGCAACATATGTTCAGTCATGCTCTACATTTATGTGATCCACTTAGAACATTGTAACGTATTTTATTAATCTCATACTGCAACTGTGCTAATCCAATATAATATTATGTAGACTGTAGGTGGGGTGTATTTATATTATGGATTTAAGCAACGGCGTAGGCTTGAGTAGGATTGTTGCGCAATTCATAGTCTCTTCAAGGGGAGACACATACAATGTCTGGGCGGGGTTGAAACTGTAGTTCTTATATGTGTTTTTTTTTGTTTTGTTTGAATCTGTCTGTTTTTTGAATACCCGGTTTATGTTTTGTCGTGACTTAAAGACGTTTTGTGCTAGCGTTAAACGGAAGATTATAAGTATAAATACTTATAACAATTATCATCAGACACGGCAGTATTTAAAAGACAATATGAACCGTCTTTAACTATCAGACTTTGTGTTCTTCGAAAAATAGAGTGTCATTACTTCCGTTTTGCATGATTATCATCTGTCTGGTTTGTTCATTGAATTTCCGTTTTGTGCCCATTTTGTTTTTTCTAACGTCCAGTTTCTCCTAGTTTATGTGCGTTTTGTCCTTTTTACAACACTGGCAACCATAACCAATCAATCCCCCCGCCCACCAATCTACGAGATGCTGTTCTCATTTTTCACACGTAACACGTAAGGTGACAGTATTAAGTATGATGGAATGTTTCATTATCAGACTTAGAGGATTTGACAGCGTCGTCAAGAAGTTAAACTACTGGCTGAGCTATACCTTTTATCGATCTCGATAAGGAACGTCTTCATTTCAGAGAAATTCTCGCCGAATGGGATGAGTGATTGCCAATTTATAGTTAGCCCTACCGGGCCCTACCATATATTTCACACGTTGAATAATGAATAATATGCTAGGTGGGGACAAATCAAATCCTTAAATTTTGGCATACGTTATATTAGACTCGACCAATGGTTTCAATGAAACAAGGTATCCTTTTCCACCACTTCACAATGATAATTATGTAGTCAATTTAGAATCACGTACCATTCGTGAACAAACAGCATTACCAACCAACTGGCATTGTTAGGATTGTAATTGCTGGCACGGTCATTATTCATTAAAATCACAATTAGCATGATTTTCGTGACATGTATTTGTATTGTATTATACCTTGTAACAATATTTACAAGCGATATTAGCACTATTGACAACCAGTAAAGATCAAAACATATAACAGTACGTAACAGCGCCCTATATTAGTATAGCACGGATCAATCACGACTTCCTTCGATCATCATAGTATTATTATCAATTGTTATATAAATGAGACTTCCGTCATAATTTCATATAGTAAACATAACAGTAGTATTAGTTTAGATGACTGTTTATGCTATGAACCAGAAATAATTAAATAAATTCCGGGTTGCATTACACTATTACATTTAATTAGAGTAAGATCGAAGCCCGATAAAACCAACATCTGCACATATACTAATATACATTATCTGCTACTATTATTATCTGCAAGACAGACGTAATCACCAATAGCTACTACACTCCCTGAGGTAAGGTTCAGCTTTAAACATCCACGTCAGTTGCTATGAGAACTAGTTTTCTATAGATTCAATGTCCCATGGAAACCAAGAGAGTTATCTAACATTTTTATTATATATTTATTACTGCACGGAATTATGACTAATATAGTAACACTGAGCTGAGTGTACAAATGTTGGATAGTGGAGCCCACCCGCCGGGAGAATACGTAAGTTTTATGTAAATCCTCAAAATATCGGCTGATAAGGGATTTGTCTGTCATGTAAATCCTACTGTCATGCTTCGTATGTGATCTGTCAACGATACTTACAGAAGCTGGATTAATCAACCAGTAACCACGAACACAGTATACACACCACGTTAATGCTCATAAAGTCGTGCCGATCTTACGGCTTTTCAGGAAATTCAACTGAACGTTTTAAAGGCGTTTTTAAGGAGGAGTGGGTTTCTGGATAAGTGTGATTGAAACGGCAGGGTGTTGAGGATTTGAAATAAAAAGTGTTAATTGTCCTTTAAAGGTGTCGTATTTTTGACGAGTTGCTTGTCATCCTGTCACGACACAGCGAGCACGGCTTGGCACAGACAGACTTGCCAGGCTTTAACGGTTCAATGTCTTTCAAAATACGGTGTATTAGCGGTGGCGTGACAAAGTACGCTAAGTCAGGCCACCGCCAACGTGCCAAGCTGAACACATTATATTGAAAAGACGTTCTATATATTGTTGTATTTCAGGAATGTTAAATTTCTTGGAAAATACTCTTTTGTAGGTTGATCGTGACGAAGATATTTTGATTATTCCAACTGAATGTGTGATTAAAAGAGATTCACAACAGCAGGCTGTCACGGTATCAAACAGTTTATAATTCACACCGTGACATCAGCTTATTGTGGTTTATGCTTTAAATCGTTAAATCAGGACGCCAAGATGACAAAAAGATTCCTTTACTAAATGTAGGAGTAGATCAAAATCAGTGGTAGTCATGACAACGGTAAAATCTGTGGAACGAATAGGGAATGTAAGTGTGAACACAGAATATACCTCGGCGCTCGATTTAACATGACCATGACCGATATGATTAGAGAATTTGGTAGGGGTTCGTCCAACTTCCTGCAGGTTGAAATACTGTACTCACTAACAGAGACACAAGAATACAAACTTTTCATCGGGACACAAATTTTAGCTTAAAAGGCAGTTGGTGATGCAAATTGTTGGTAGAAAAGGTGAATTATGACTATCTATATCAGCATGCTGGGTAAGGTGGTTTTTTTTTGTTGAAAAAAGGTAAAGTAGACTAAAATCAATAGAAAAACCACAAAGACAAGACAAACAAGAACATAAAAATACCCAATCATTTGTTGTTGAGGTTCTTACCTGAAAATAGCGATGACTCATGATCTGGTTGAGGTTTAGCCGTTTCTCTACATTATGCTCGATGCACGACCTCACCAGATCACGTGAGTATGGACACGTGATCGTTTCCAGGATCTTGGGGTACTTTTTCGTCTTCAAACAATCTATCGCTTGCGACAACTTGTCACACTCCTCGTAGGGGTTTTCCTGAGAGGGTAGTGGTGAGTTTGAGGTATTGGTGAAGTACAAGTGGGGTATTGGTGAGGTATTGGTGAGGTATTGGTGAGGTATTGGTGACGTATAAGTGAGGTATTGGTGAGGTGCAAGTGAAGTATTGGTGAGCTGTATCTACTAAGTTGAGATTTAACAAAAACCAGGTCTTGTGGTTTAGTTTGTTTGCAACCCCTGTGGGCGCTAGAGGGCTATGGACACGAGGGGTGGTGAGCTAATGCTATAGTTTAACGGTTTGATACATTTTCAGCAGTCGCACTATCCACGGGGGCCACATTTTAAATTAAACCTGCAATTTGACAGCAGGTTTCAGAATATAACAAACCGTATTTCGTCAGCACAACAGCCGCAAACATTAACAAGATTGCAACTTCTGGCGACTGTTCTTTCGCACATTTTTATTGTTAACCCAAAGCTACCAACAGGATGCATGTATAAAACTTATTATATATATTTTCATATAAACTGCTAAAATTTATAAATCAGTCTGAGCTGCTGTTCAGCTGTGTTTTAAAGTTAAACAAGAATGTGGAGAATGTTGCAACTGTCACGTGTGGCAGCACCGAATCACACTGACATAAGATGTTATTTGTTGTCATAAGAACATTATCGGAGTTACTTGATACCGGGAAAACGGTATTGAAATTTTCCGCTTAGTAGGTAAATATCTACTGGTCATATCGATATCAAGATGTGTCAATCATATACAGCTGTCACGAATTCCGTTACATTATTCACATTATTGTATCTCGTGCTCAGCAAAATCTTTCAGCCGCGGACGAATCATTATAGACCGAACGTCAAAATATTTTGGATGCCGGAGCTCGCTGTTCAGTGCTCGGGAGGAAGAGAAAGAGTCACGTTTGTTGGCAGGAATTTTACCGCGATTACAACGAGTAAATCTTTATTCTTAATCTTATCCGAGTAGCAGGTCAAGTAAGATGACCTAGATCCTTTACAAACCATGTCTCAAATTACTCGCCATTATAAAACGCCCACAATTCAAGTTACCGTACTACCTGGAATCTTACCTTAATAAGTAATGACATTAAATGTCATACAGGAAATGTTAATTTGTTGTGAAAAATATGTAGTAGATTTAAAGCCGATGAGTGATATCATGATTGAAACGGGTGAGGAATCCTGCTATGATAAAATGGGCATTCTGCCAAAAAGAGGGAATATTTTTACTTTTGAACAGGACAAATTTTAAAGAAATGTAGAAATGAAGCAGCACGCCTATGCTTTAAGGAAATAAAGCAAGGTATTTCAAGAATTTATTTATTCACATTAACAGCGTTTACTGATTTAATTCAAAGTTTAAATCTTAATTAATATAATAACTTATCGCAAATTAAAAACAAACCCCGGTGAGCATTTCCAGAAGGACGATGCCGTACGAGTAGATGTCGGTAGATTCGTTGTAGTGCTCCACTGCCATTTCCGGTGACATGAACTCTACCTGGCCTACGGGGTCATCAAGATACTTTCCTCGCTCCTGAAGAGGACAAATTAGAATGTTCTAGAACATCACGTATATATTAGGTGTACCATAAATTTAGGTCTACAAATATGGTCGAAATATTTCCTACTCTACCAGTTAGAAAGGTTTGACACGTCAAGCATATAATAATAATAATATTATATATTATATCAGATAGGTTTACTGAGAAGGCCGTAGCATTTTCTGCTCAACAAATTAGGTCGACTTGACAATACAGGGTCCTGATAATTTAAATTGAAGGTTATAACATTCTCCAGTTAATAATAAAATTAACGCGAATTATATTCCGAGCCATTATAATTTTAAAACAGGACACTTTGTTCATTTGTCCTGATTGATGGGATAGTGTTAAATGGGTTAAAATCGTCCATTTCAAGATACAAACAGATATCATTTAACACTACCTCCACATTATGTCCGTAGCCAGCACTCTATAATATTATGGTCTATAGCTATATTAGTCTATAAAATTAAAATTGCATTAAATCGGGCACGGTCCCTACGTCACAGAGGTCTGTTCAAACTACCAATGTGCATGCTAGCCACGATATAATACCAGAGCTGGTCTATTCTACTGTATTACTAATCCTGATTGATTGTAGGCGCGCGTGTGGACTGTAAGTAGGCCTGTAAACTGTAAAACCAGACTTCGGACCCCTACTTTAAACTATTGTCCCTCTTTCCAAGTAAACAAGTCCGTTTATAGGCCTTCGCTAGGTATTACTGGGACTAGCTGTTCATTGGTTGCACTAATGGATTGAGTCAGGCATGATCCGTGCATCAACGTGCTCGACGAGACTACTATAACTAATGGGATATTTTGTTACGTTAATAAAAGTCTTTATAATTTTACGGAATACTTTAATTTGTAAGTTTTATAATTTCATAATTTTTTAATCTTTAGAGACGATGGACGGGAGTGCATTGAATAAAATGTCAACTTAGCGAATCTGGTCTTGGAATGGTTTAGAAGCGCCGATGCAGCACAATTATTCGTGCATGTAATATGTCTGGAGTCTGCTACTTAGAGACCGGCTAACATTGAAATTATGTGCGGCGGGTTAAGACAAACAATCTAGATGGCTGGCTACCTGGCACAATCAGAAAATATCGCCTGTAATGACCAATCAATTGAATGCCAATTACACTATGACAACACAGCCACACTGCGCTGCAACTGTGTACAAAAATAATTTAGTACGATTAGAAAGTCAAGTCATATTATAATTTTGAGTAGATTAAGGGCTCTAATGGAATGTCTACACTGCAACTGGTAAACAATACCAGGTCATCAGCGGTAGACAATACTATGTTAACGGCGTATCGGTGATCAGATAATGATGATTTATATCATCATTTATATCATCCAGCCCAAATTTCTCTGATAAAGTATAACAATTTTAGCACCTTTTCTGGGAACCCCACCCATCTCCAGGCGGTTTAAATCTTAACTTTGAGTCGAGTATACGGAAAGTTATTAATATGCTATATTTTACCTTCAGCACGGCGCTGCCAAATGAGCTGACTTTAACTTCCCCTGTGTTGATGTTGATACAAACATGGTCGCAGCGGAGGGTCCTGTAAAACAAAGTTTCTTGGTTAATGTGGATTTATCTTTTAATCTTTAAATGAACACGTTATGTAATTGATAAGAATTGAAGGAAATGCGCATAATTGATATTTTTAAGGAGTAAATCAGGCGACAGCATAATTGCAACTTTACTGTTGATTTAGCCGTCAAAGTAACTCATGTCAATGATAGACTCTAAATGAGCTGCGGTGTTTTCTCAAAAATAACAAAATATTTCTGAGGAAGCAGACTAGCGGCGGTTTAATAAACAAACTTTTACTAAAACTTTAATAAACAAACTTTTACTAAAACAAGTTTAAGATTTAAACCTGTGAACGATAACATGGTGGCTGGAATAGGTCTGAAGGTACATTATAGCCTCTAGTATCTGGCTAGCCCAGGACTTTATCGCTGAGTCCACAAACCCTCGCGGCGAGGTATGGAGATGTCTGGAAGAATTCGGTGGTTAGTTGGTAGTTAGTTTGAGGTTAGTTTGATGTTAGTTTGTGGTTAGATATTGACAAATTGATACTCTGATCCTGGTTAGAGTAGCCTAAACGGTAAAACATGGCTATGGCATAAATTGTTATTTTATCGATTTATTCGAAGTTAAACCAAGTCTTGTCACTGGTGTATACCCATTACCCATCCCCTGTTATCATTAAAGAAACATTGAAACAATTAGCAGCTACTAAGAAGCACATGGTATAATAATTGTATAGTTGTAGTTAGTACACACACTACAAAGTGCTGCTGTACTCACAACACAGCTACTCACTAGTACGACTCATTGCTATCTACACACACGTGAAGGATGACAACTCCTTCTACAATCCCCTTTCTCAGGAAAAAATGCCCTGACATGTTGGGCCCCAATAAAACACGAAATAAGTGAAGTTAGGTGAGTCTGATATATTATGATCTGTAATTATTGTAAAATGTTTGAGAACCTTAAGTCTGAGAAATTCCAGTTTGAAGTTACCAAGAATTGAGATCAAGTCTTCTTGTAAGTTAGAAGGAAACCTAATGTTAACCTACACCAGCTTGTATGGGTTGCCATGGAAACCCCACATGGTTGCGAGGGTGACACTCTGTGTGTCTTGTGTGTTACGGAGTTAAAGTAACGTACCACCTGCAATTACATTACGTATTGTCTTGGCAGATAGAGAGAGAGAGAGAGAGAGAGAGAGAGAGAGAGAGAGAGAGAGAGAGAGAGAGAGAGAGAGAGAGAGAGAGAGAGAGAGAGAGAGAGAGAGAGAGAGAGAGAGAGAGAGAGAGAGAGAGAGAGAGAGAGAGAGGGAGAGAGAGAGAGAGCAGCTTACTAGCTTTAAATTCACGAATTCTTTTCTTTTTTCTTATATAATACAATATTAACATTGATCTGTGATTCAATTCAATTCTAATATCTCTGACTTAAGATGTAAATCATTCCATTTTAATTCTCATGAATCTAAATCGGAACCGCAGAGTTTTTTTTTTGATTCTTCAGAATGTGGCAATTATCGGAAAAAGAGGTTGTCAAGAATTTTGAATCGTCATTAATTGGCACACCCGAGCATCTCTGCGATTAATGATCTAGAATATCTGACAACCGCGACCGACAGGACTCAACCTGAAATTTTTGAAAATATCCGACTGATCATTGAAAGAGTTGATCAAATGACCTAAGAATCTGGCATAAATATTGACTAATCAAGCTAATATAGTTTTATTACATAATGAAGCAAAATGCTTGTCGGAAAAGTCTAATTTAGTTATGATAAATCAGAATGTAGCCGGAAGTTTAAGATTGGTAAGGCTAATCATAGCTGGTATGGAATTAGACTCAACATGTATTTTCAGGTGAAACAAGTTGATTTTATCTAGAATCATATCAACTTCATAATTGTCTCCATTCTTAATTACTAAACCTAATTTTCACAAAAGACATGTCTATGGACGAACCTTATATACTATACAGTTACATTTCAACCTGAACTTCATCTCTGAAACTTCAACATTGAGATGTAATCAGTCACTCGGAGGAGATCTTTTAAATGTTAAAAAATAGCACTTTGTACATTTGCAGCTCCTTGCTCGTCAAATACAATGGCATTAATTTTCCAGACCACCATTCCGCATACAATGGAAAATAATTTAACACACGCGTTTTGTAATACTTCTCTTCTTTTCATTAGCAACAAAGCTGACGAGACGAAAATTGTTGAAAGGAACTTGTACTTGGTGGTGCGATGTATACATGCATTATACATGCATAATACATGCATAATATAATATGTAAGTTATTAAACTCCAGGTGAGCGTGAGGTTGTAGGACACAATAATATCGTATGTTATATTTATATTGCATGATGCTCTCCAATGTTAGGCTACAGTGGAAGGTTCTAGACTCTCGAGGCTATGAAATACTTTGCAAATCTAGAATGTTCTCACATAATGATTGGGAATGATTAATCAAACATAGGTTTTAAGGCGATCTTTGTGAGATTATGAGCAGCTCATTAATGAATGAAATTCGTTATACCACGTTCATTAGGATATCGCAGCCGAGGAGGAGGGAAAGAAAGGAAACCAGGTTATGAAAACTCCTTATCTCTTATCAGGGACTACATTACGAGGAACAATGCTTATCACCTTGGACGGCGAATGTAAATTCGTAACCGGTTCTTTAAGTCTTGAAGATAAAATTGGAGCAAAATGTGACAATTCACAGTGTTTCATCAAGCTTATTCTTTATAAAAAGGTAAATTTGAAGTATGTTTCAACCTTGCATTTCCTATGAAGACCGTTTCTTCAGAATAAATAATACTTACAGTAAGAGAATTTAAGTAGTATTAATTAAAGTAGGTAAATTTAAAATTAAATTACAATAACCGCCCAGTCATCTTCAAGCTTATCCCCATACAGTCAGGACAATCAGGACAAAGAAGTAAGAACAGCAGATTCTTAATCAAAGAGGTATTCAATACGTCGCGTCATGACAGTTAAATATAGCCCCTTATCTTCTGAAACCGCTTTATCTAAACACAGTTATCTTATCATTTTATTAGAATTCCTATAAATACATCTGTAACTTTAAATGAATAATGACCTGACTCAACACAGGCTACACCGAGGCGGTTAAAAAGTGCTCCTAACGGTGGGGTGGCGATATTCCTAGCACGAGTGTCCTCATGAACCGTTATATCCGTGACTAGTCTCATTATTTTCTTAACTTCTCCCTCCTCCAGCCGGATAACCCCACTTATACCATAAAGCCAATAAACTGCAAGAGCCATCCCATCAAGCAAGGCTTGATCAGATCGGAAAGATCATGGTGCGTCAATTCGACAATTACGGAGTGATGTGGCAAACAAACAGGAGTAATTGGTCAACAAAAGATCGTGACAAGAAAGAGGAAAGATTGGGAGTCTGCGGTCTGTTGTTGGCCAGGATCTCTCTCGCTCTCTCTCCTCTTCAAAGTGATAAATTGTTAGTACAAAGCACTTTCAAGCGCCCTTAGTCACCTTCACGTGGTTTTTAATCTAATTGAGTACTCTTGATATAAAGTGTAGCTGTGAGATGGGCGGCAGTGCAGGCAGTAATCTTGGACAGTGACCGTTCTCTCTTTCTGATGAATGAAACACAGTACGTTACTAAAGCAACACGTATCACTCAAACACACACACACACACACACACACAGCTCTCTATTACACAACATCATACTATTATGTGCTTGTTAGTGATGAATGTATTATGTGAGCACGGACGGCTCGGTATTATAAATGTTAAATGAATATAAACACGGAGGTCAATTTGCCATGAAATTGCTTTCAAGCAATAGAATTAGTTTTCAACACTTACGTTTACATGCTAACAATACGGTAATTGTTGTGTAACGATCATGTAGACGTAGTCGGTTAAGAGATCGTTATGGTTGATGGTGATCAGAGATTTGTTGATGATTATTATTATATGCATCATTTTATGTTATTCTTTTAGCCAATGACAATACTTGGCCCATGCCCCAAAATATCGAACCAATCCAAATTTACTATTCTTTATTAAAATTACAGGTCACCATGTTTTACTAATAATATTTCAAGGAAATGAGATTATCAATATATTTATTGCGGCAGGTTGTGAATTGCTAGCTACGGAACCGCAATGATTTATTCAAGAAGATTTAATAAATGATCCGACGGTATAGAACTTACTGTTTGAGAGTACATCCCATGAGTTCAGTTATCAGTACGGGTGTTCTGCTACTGTTCGGAGATGCTTCCCAGAACTCGATGAAGGATACGATGTTTTTGTGTTTTACACTTTCCAACAGAGATGAAGTTTTCGTGAAGGTCTCCCATTCCTTCTCTCCCTTCAACTGAAATTAAAAACGATTAATTAAAATTTAAGATCTCTACAGCACAAATATTGTTGCGTTGAATGTTGATTGAGCTTTACTGTTCAATGATTAATACACCGCCTTAATTGGAAGTAGTAACAAGAATTATTGTTCTCTTCGGGTTGGGCCTAAACTTTTATCTATTACGTAATTTATCGAGTGAAATTATTCCGGGTGGAGATATTCCGAGCACGATGATATGTGTAAATACCTAACTAATTCCGTGTAAATACCTAACTACACATAACAAACCTAACTACACATAACAATTATAATCTCAGTGTAACATTTCATCTGAGTCTACGTCTCTCCTCAAGAGCAGAGATTTTGGAGAGTGTAAATTTCAATCGAATTACATCACAACGTTATGGATTGAGAGTACTGGTTGCGAGTATCATTGCCTGTAACCTGTATTACGGGCGATGACGTGATGTTAAAGACGGTCAACAGAGATTTAACAAGTTGAGAAGTGCTTCAAGTGCAACTTGTTTTGATCGCACATGCTTACCAACGCCCTACAAACTAAAAACGATGTTTCAACATGTGTCTTACACAATCTATGACCTACGATTAGCACCTAATTAACTATCAATTGCCATAATAAGTGATTAACCCTACCTTTGGCTCGCACCAGGCCACACAGCGTCCGTTGTGCAAGTCATTGCCTCGAAAGACAATTCGTTGAGCGCCCTTGCCAAGCTCGAAGGTGGTTTTGATGTATTGCCCACAGGGGCTGGCCGGAACTGGCTTCTCATTTACCATCATAAACCCCGACTCATGGAAGAACACACCACAACATGCTAAAAAAGAGATTTATTAGACAATAATAATTATAGTTTCTCCGATACTGTTTTTATTGTTATCAGCACGATTCTAAGAATCGATAAGTTAGAAACATAGGTCACCTATTATGTGTATTTTAAACAAACGGCAAAACAAATAGTTCTGGCGGGGCTCCAACATGATGTGTTTAGTGGATTGGTGGTTACATGCTCAAGATCTGAACATTCTTTTAGTACGACAGAGAATACCACTTAAAGTAATGTACAAGTTGAATTATTCAATTATAATCTATGTTTAAATCATAATCTTTATCTGATAAAATTACAAGATAAATTAGGCGCAAATGTAGGAAGTGACTAATGCACTGTGTATAAAAATTTAAATTATTTACAATGATTACTGTGGCTGAAAGGTATGGGCATACTCAACTTCTTTAGTACATATCATTTACACTATTTACAAATAAATTATTCTGATACAATTCTATAAAAACATAACATTCCTTTTAAATATTCTGATTGTTTTATAAACTCACGCAGAGACCATAGTTTCAAGAGCTGGTGCATCACTTTTTGCAATGTTGCCCACTTCATCGTCTGTTTCAGTGACAATCAGATCCTGTTCAGAGAGTCTGTGATAGGATCTGGTTGGCATCCGACAGTAAACACATTTTGTGTATTCTTCTCCCACCTCTATAAGATCCCGCTTCTCAACCTTAAATGTTCTCTGACAGTCCACACATTCTTGGAATTTGTAACCCATCGACAGTTTATTGTGTAAGACTACAGGCATCTTATCAGCATTTTCAACATTCCACATTCGGATTGTTCTGTCTTTGCTGCAAGAAAGAAGACACTTTCCATCTGCTGTCATAGCAATGTCGTTGATCCAGGACCCGTGTGCCCGAATCTGATGTCGTTTTTGGGTTGCCAACGCATCCCAGATAATAACGGTTTTATCATACCCTGCACTAACAATCTTCTTATTGTCCACCGCAAATTTACAAGAACTCACACAACCTTCATGTTCATACATGACACGCGGTCCTTGTGTTCGGTAAGTTCCTGCGTGGACATCCCATACTCGCACTGTCTTGTCCCAACTCCCTGAACAAAGTTTGAATCCCTCTGAAGAGATGTCAACAGCTGAAACAGCAGAAGTATGTCCAGTTAAAAGCAAAAGGGTACTCCCAGTTCGCATATCAGAAAGGCGGATTGTCTTGTCAAAACTTCCTGTTGCTAATGTGAAGTTGTTCTGGGCGCAGCAGGTTACAGAATTAGTGTGACCAGTTAAGGTCATCACATTTTCATAAGATCTCATGTCCCATACTTTGGTCTGTTTATCATCACAACAGACAGTGATTAGCGAAGATTCTTCAGAAAAGCTTACTCCTAAGACTAAAGCCTCATGTTGAAGAGTCCACAGGCAGTTTGTGGAAGAGCCATCCCATATCCGCACAGTTCTGTCCCAAGAACCACTCACAATTTTGGAACCTGTTGGTGAAGTTGCACAAGCTTTCACTGGGCCTTCATGGCCCTTCAACTTGAAGATGCATTTTCTTTCATCTACATCCCATCCACTCAAACAACAATCATCTCCAGCAGCAACAAATTTCTGATCATTATCAAAAAATGAAACAGTGTTTACAGCAGCAGTATGAGATTTTAGGACATGGACTTCTAATTCTTTACTCATCACTGAGAACAGCTAAAATTTGTGAAAAAATTTAAATTCAAACTTATCAAATATGTGACATAAGTTAACTATCATGAAATAAGGGTTGTTTACGGAACAAGCATCACAATTAGGGTACTTAGATATCAAAATAAAAGTATTAAAGGAACAGTTTACTTTATATTTTGATGATTGAAGGATATGAATGGTAATTTCACTGCAATGTTATTGGCAAACATAAACATACAGGGTGGGCCAAAAGTCAGTACCCATACGTTGGCCTTAGCTCAGTCACTGAGTGCCCAATTGAAATAATTCTTTCTGGTATGACTTACTACCACCACTGGTTCGAGGAATTTGTCAAATCGAAACATATTCGAGTGTTCATTTTTTTCAAGTGAAGGTTCATTTTCGCATTTAGTTGATAGTTTGAATAGTCGGATCGAGCAAAATTTTATTGAATGGTGTTTGGCCATTTAAATTACGTTTGTCCTGAAAAAATTAGAGTTCTAGCGTCTCAGATGACCGATATATGACGCATAACGAGTTTGTTCACTACGTGTGATCAGATGATTGGGTTTAGGCTAGATCCGCATTATGGGAGCGGTGCAGGGAGCCCAATTATGGTGTCGTAATTGGGTAATCATTGAGTACTCAATCAATTTTGCTAACGAGATAAACAAATTGCTTGATAACTTCGTCATTTTAAATCCGTTTCGCACCATCTTTTCAGATTATATTCCGAATTAAATGACCTATTGTAATATGTTACAACGGAGTCTCTAACATGTTCACAAACACCAGTAAAAGCAATTCAATGTTGATTGGGTGTGGCCCCCAAAAATCAAATTTTAAAACACGGCGGTGGTGTAAGACCCGTTTGTTTGTTTGGGGACTGGTTTGTAAGCCAGCCAATGTTTACGAATATAATATTAATAACTTTATTACATAATCATAAATATATATCATAAATAGATCAAATCTGAAACACAAATTTGCACGCAGTTAATAAATTTATTTAAAAAAAAAGAAAATGAAAAAAAAGAAAATTTTATTGATAAAAACAAAATATGGAGCACTCTGTGCTTCCAACAGCCTTTCAGACTCGCGCTAAGTTTGTTAGGGACTGATTTAGGATATCGTAGATATTGCTATGCCATGCCATTAGTTTGGATATGTAGTGTTTGTGATTGTTGAAATAAATTAATTACGGTTTGTGCTGATAGAGAAAATAGTGATAGTGGGGAATGTGGCAGTGTAAATATGGACCTGGAATTTAGGATGTGTGGCTTATCCATTAATATTAGTTGCCGCTAGTCTGTGATCAGTTTGTTCTGGTTTTTTTGTGTGCAAATATATATTCATAGTTTATTTTTGTAATATCATATAATATAATATATAGTACTTAATAATAACCATATGACTAATAACTGATTTACTAATTAACTAATTAACTAATTCACTAAACTGATATAATGACCGTTGTGTCCAGTAACTTTCAGACACGTTGTGACCTTCTTAGACCTGGAATATTATGTAATAAGAAACTGGGCCACGTGTCATCGTCATTTTCACTCTGCAGGTTCAAGAGCATGCGTTTTGTAGCCGATTTAAAAAGGTTTATGGAAAAAAGTGTGGGTAGGGTGCTTACATTTGCATTTACAGCATAAATTGAGAGTAAAGGTCCTTTGAAGAACATCGAAGATCTGAAATGTGTGGTGTTGTACTCGGCTAACCAGGATGCTGCAGTCACGTGATCTGAGTTTGCAGTGGGTGCATTTTCTGGGATAGTCATACAGATTTGTTGAGGGACTGAGCTGCGGAAATGTTTGATTCGGTGCATGAGAATTAGTGTGTTTTTTACAATAACACTGTGCACCGTGAGTATACCATTGTTATTGAAAAATTGTTTTGTGTGTTCTGGCAGTCGACCGTCTTTGTAAAAGTAATTAATGTGACCTGGCATTACTGCCCTGATACCCTGTTTTTGTCGTGAGAAGAGTGATTCAATGTGATTTTTTGCTGCAAACCCCCATACAATTGAACAGAAGTTTAAATGCGATTGAACAAAACTTTGATATATCTGTAGCCTTATTTGAATCGATAGGTGACGTTTTATTTTATACATAATTCCTACATATCGCATCATTTTTGATCTAACAGCTGCTATATGCTTAGACCATGTTAGTTTATCATCCATTATAACGCCAAGGAACCGTGCTTCCCTCTTACGTTCTAATTGTGTGTCTGCAATATGAATATTTGGAGTATTATCAGTATTTCTAACACCGAAAAGCATATAGCAGGTCTTTTTTAGATTAAGTGCAAGTCCATTACAGTCAACCCAGCGTACAAACTCGTGGGAGAATTGGTTGAATTTTTGTATAACATCGTTTGCATTTTTGCCTTTTATTATGATATTTGCATCATCAGCGTAGAGTATAAACTTTATCATACTGTTGATATTTGGCATATCATTGATGTAGATTAGGAATAACAAAGGTCCCATAATACTGCCCTGTGGAACTCCGTATGTAATAGGTTTAAGAGCTGATTTAATACCATTCAAACATACATATTGCTGACGTGTGCTCAGGTAGGATTTAAACCATTGCAAAGCTTGCCCACGGATTCCATAGTGCTGGAGTTTGTCAATCAATACATCATGAGACAAAACGTCAAAAGCTTTACTAAAGTCGACTAGGAGTAATAGAGCAACTTCCTTTTTGGCAAGGGAATTCAGAATCGTGTGTTGAGCATCCAAAAGAGCATGCTCACAGGATCGGCCTGGCCGGAAGCCATATTGTCCTTCAAAGAGCGAGCCTTTCTTGTCAAGGAAGTCCATTACTCTATTATGCATAAGTTTTTCATACAATTTGGAAAAGGTGCACAGCAAAGATATGGGTCGATAGTTAGTGGCGTCGGATTTGCTGCCTCCTTTGTGAATTGGTATAACTTTAGCTATTTTGAGAGATGATGGGAAGATACCTTGACTAAATGATGTGTTAATGATTATGGACAAGACTTTACAGAAGGAGGGGCAGTCTTTTACCATTTTTAGGGGTTCAATTTTAGTGTCTTGAGTGGATTTATTCTTAAGCTTGCTAATAATTTGTTCAACTTCACTTTCGGTAGTTGGTCTTACGAACATAGACTGCGAAGCTGGGCTGCTAAGGTAATGTTTAAAACCCCCTGGATCGAATACAGTACGCGCGCTGATCGCATCTTTGATTTTTGTGGCAATGTTGGAGAAGTAAGAGTTAAAGTGCTCAGCTACATCACTGTCACTATTTATGATATTTCCGTCGGCGTTTTGGAGTTTAATTTTGTTATGAGATTTAGATTTTCTGCCAAGTAGAGTGTTGATCAGCTGCCATTGTTTCTTTGAACAATCTTTATACTTATCAAATTGTGTTTTGTAGTATTTGTCTTTTGCCTTATTGACGTGCTTGTCGCAGAATGCCTTATGCTTTTTGTAAGCCTTGTAGTTTTCCTCCGTTGGGTCCACTATTTTGGCATGGAATAATTTGTTTTTACGAGCACATGCAATTTCAAGCCAGGGTAGCATAAAAGGTTTGGGGTCCTGCCTTTCAAATTTGCGGCGCACATGATTGGTTTTCACTGGGTATGCCTCATCATAATGCTGACCGTATATTTCAATAAATTTGTTATATTGTTCATCAGCACAATTTTCACGTGTGACTTCCTCCCACATTTCGGATCCAATTAATTCTATAAATTTAAGGTTGTTCGACTCGTTAAACATACGTTTTTCAACATTCATTCCATGGTCGACTCTGTGTCGTTTGTTTCTACTCCCTGCAATGTGGCTGTATTGCCCAAGTGAGATAGTAACAAGAGTGGCTAGATGATCAGACAGGTCAACAGTAAGAACATTGCAGCTGTGTGTGTGTTGTACATTATTGCTGTAAACATGATCTATAAGAGTGGCACTGTGATCAGTGATACGTGTGGGACGTGAGACTAGCTGAAAGAAACCGTATTTAGTCATAGTTTCAATCAAATTTTGACAGTGTTTGTCAGTATCATAATGTGTAAGATCTACATTGAAATCACCGACTAATATAGTATGTTTTCTCGAGTGCCTTTCCATGCCGTGTAATAGGGAGTCAATGAGTTTGTTAAAATTATCAGGATTTTTTGATGCTGGTGACCGATATATATTGACGATTATCTTTGTTTTGTTAAAGCCTTTGCAGTTATGGAGTTTTACCAACATGAATTCACCACTCTTGTCTGTCACATCAAAGTTTTGGGGAAAGAATTTTTCAATATTTTCAGACTCGCATACGCGCGTATTGATATAAATTGCTAAACCCCCACCACGACCAGAACTACATATTGGATCTCGTAACAGTGGTTCATAAAATCCCTCAAGCACTAGGTCATTAATACCATTAGGAAGCTTATCCTGCAAGAGATTAGTCTCGTTAAAACAAAGGACATCATACTTCGAGTACGTGAATATATCTTCTCTTAATTTGTCTACGTTTTTAAGAAGTCCCCGTATGTTTAAGGTAAATATCTTAAGATCACATGCTCCTGACGAACTTACATTTGTCGGCTCCATGTAATTGCAGCTAACTAAAATATCAGAAATCTCATTCCAATATTCGAGTTCCTGATCTTGGTCAATTGTATTTCCTATTTCGTTAATCAACTGATAGCGATCGTAGGGATTGTGGATTATGCCGGTGTGAGTATGTGTATGTAATGAGTATAGCTGATAGCAATGTACATAGTATCCCGGGATCATATTTTCACAGCAGTTTCTGCATCCTAATAAGTCGGAGTGACATTTGGTATGTACTTTAGATTCGCACCAGTGGCAGGTTTTCAGGTTGGCGGGGGAGTAAATCCAGCCATTACAGCATGTGCATTGAACTTTAAATTTAGGACCTATGACGGGCCCTTGTCTCGGTGGCTTTGCCGAGGGGCATGCATTTACTGGTAAGGCGCTGGAAATACAGTCATAACATATCCAGGCAGAGCCAGAATCTACAATTATTTTTGCCTCAGACTTAGATAACTTCATGCATTTCATATGTTTTATTTTGTCGCAGTGACTGCAAATTAGGAACGAACGTGCTTTAGGAATACGTGTATTACATTTGTTGCAATGCTGAGATTCGTTCATAGAACTATGAGATAATGTATTATATTCGTTAGTATTATAGTTATATTATGATATATTTAAGAGAGTATATAGACTTACTATTAATACAAAATATGATAATAATAACGTGACCTAGTCAGATACTTCTAACGAAGACTTTCAGTCCTGTGTGTAGAAAGTACCGTGACTTATCTACAGTAATTAAGTAAACTTCACCTTTACCTTTATGATTGACCTTTAACTTCTCTTCTATTACTTGATGGCAGCAGCTCACCGTGCATGAGCCTAATTTCCATATGTACAGTAATGTATGTGTCGAATGTTCAGAGTCAAATGTACAGAGTCAAATGTACAGATCAGTCAAATGTACAGAGTCAGATGTACAGTAATGTGTGATGTATGTATAATGAGTACTGTGTATTATCTGTGTAGATATCGTGTAAATATTGCGTCGTCGTTGTCTGAGTACGGCATGAGGTTAGGAATTAGATAATATGAAATGATTGTTATGATGTAGGGACGTGGACTATTATCAAGCAGGGTTTATTTCGCGTTTTGCTGATAAGGTGTGATAGATAAGGTGAGAAGGTAGGGAATCTGGATAAGGGAAAAGTTCATTTAAGTAGTTGGTTGTATTATGTGCTTTGTGCTTGAGTTTGAATTTGATTTAAGTTTCTAATTTTTATTTGAAATGACGAAAAAATTTAGTAATATAGTAATAGTTTGTTCAAATAAGTTACGTTTGTTTGATTAGTGAAATTGTTTGCAACTCAGCGCGAGTCTGGAAAGTTGTTCAGGATTCGATATTTTTGTCATGATAATTTGACATTAAGATATAAAATACGTCGTGCTCAGGTGCCAAAGTGGCCAGGGATTGGATAAGATATCATACGTTTAAAGTGCTCACGTAGAGGTAGGGGTCCACGCCTGAACCCCAGTCCAATGAGCACACAGTTTACCCAGCAATCTGATAATACACTCTGTCCAATATAGTTAAGATGTAGACCGTCACGAGCGAGGTGAGCGAGACTAAAACTTGAGTTGTCGAAGAGTCTGAAGTTGTCATGGTGAAGGGAGCACTTAAACATGAGTTCATTAAGGTACTGGATAATGTCGTTGTGGGTGTTGAATCGGTCAGCATGTATCGATAGTGGACTGACTGCATCGAATAAGAACATAGTGCGCGGGAACTGTTCTATGAAACTTCTGATGTGATTATGCAGCAGGACGGCACTCGCTCTGTTTTTCTGGATATCGTTTATGCCAGCACTTATGAGTACAATGTCGGCTTGCTGAATCGATTCCCGGTGTTCCTTTAAGTCGCGGAGGAAAAATAAGTTTTCCCGGAACGCTATGACAGGTGAACGAAATTGAGAACAGTCAAAATTACAGTTTTTGCTGTCAGACAGTATCAGCACTCGTTTGGTCTGGTTCACTTTATGATGGGGTAGAGGTCGCAGCTGATGGCTGCTAGATTTTCTGGAATGTGCCGAGGCCAACTGTCTAAAGGTTAAGCTGATTCGAGGACCTTCAAAATCCGCCTGAGTTTGCGGAGGAACAGCATGGTCAAAAAGGTCCTGCGATTTTCGCGTCATAGTGTAACAGTCGCCGTGTTGAACTGTCACAGTTTCATCGCGATACTCGCCTGGAGGACGTCTACGAAAAACTAAATCCCTTTTACCCCCCAGGGAAATGGTAAGTATAGTGCTGTCGGGTACTATACACGATTCATCATCGGAATGAGGAGGTATACACGAGACGTGTGATTCATATTTGGTGATCATGCAGCTATTGAAATCCTTATAGTTGATGTTGTTGGTCTTGCACACATCATCAACTGCTACAAGTATTTCAGCAAGGTACGTCTCAGGGTCTAATTGCTTTGCCCTGTGGTACCCTCCTAAATACTTGTAAGGAGCATCACCAAAATATGCAACCTTTCTATTCGAGAAAACTTTATCATAGGTTAATTCAGAGTCCAATCTCTTAAAGTCAAACCTCTTCAGCTGGTCACCAGTTTCGAGCTTGGAGAAGGGCTGTTCCACAGTCTGGACCGGTGTTGGTGGTGCAGGTATTTCGGGGAGGGTGGTTGTAGGTTGAGTAGGAGGGTGAGCAGAATGGTCACGTAGAGACTGGACAAGGGACTGTGCTTCACTAACGGTGTTCTGGAGGCCGGTCATCGCATCAGTGGATGATCTCGAAAAAATTTGAGTTAGAGAGATAAGTTTGTCAGTAGTTTCGGTTAATGTAGAGGTACACTTATGACTGTCAAGAATGTGTGCACGTAGCATTTTCTGCTTGGATTGCTTGCATAACTGAAGGTCATCTTCAGTCGCTCCAAAGAGCAGCAATTCACGGTCGAGTTGAGGTACAATGAGTTTATCGACCAATTCCAAGCAGGTTGCAGTTGAGAAACAAAACGGGCGTTCCGTCGATTCAGTCATGTAGAAAGGTAAACTTACGCTTCAAGGAGGGCTACGGTGGACTTATGTGGAAGGAGGGGCCCAATTAAATTGGGGCCACCGAGCCTAGGGGTCTCTGTTATCTGTAGTGTTGTAGTCAGTGTGCGTAGTATTAGCGTTTAAGCCACGTCACGATGAGCTGCTGCACTGTCGGCTTATCTATTTAGCAGCAAGACTAGATAACAACATAATGTAATAAAATGTTTGAGAAGTGAACGTATGGGTACTGACTTTTGGCCCACCCTGTATTATGAATTTAACTTAAACCCTGTATTTCAATCAATGAATATGAGGCAACTTATGTAGATTATCATTTGACCAAATTCAGGAATCAGGATAAAATGTAGATATATGAAATGAAGATTAAATTAGTTAAGGTAATGTGATAAATCCATTAATTTAGTCTGAAATTCTGACTGGGAGGACATTTTGGATTTGAGAGGATATTTATGGTGAAAGAGGAAATTTTTAGAAGGCCTGATCTGCAAGGAAAAAGACAACTTGTCCACCTCATTCTGAAAAATCAAATCTTCAAATCTTGTGAGCAGTTTCTTGTGCCTTCAACTGGAGGCAATTGAACCTTCTAGAATAATTCGAACAGTGACAAAATAATGTGAGTTATATTAGGATATGAGCCTGTTGTCCAAGTAACAAATAAATCATACCCATCTTATGTAATGTTATAAACTATATCGACAGTTAAAATTTACAACAATTTTTGAATATGATGAGGACAGATTGATAGGGGGAAGCCGGACTACAATGAAGTGATACTTGTAAGTTACAGAGTGTGCCGATACAAGGCCGATTGATTGCTTGGTGACTTAGAAAAGCTCGATTTTGAATTTTGATGTCCATTTTGGAAGACAATCTTATCGAATGACGAATTCTATTTGTAAAGAAATACTACATTACAGAATGTGCCGATACAAGGCCGGTTGACTGCTTGGTGACTTAGAAAGGCTCGATTTTTATGTCCAAAATGGAAGACAATCTTAACAACATAACATAACATAACATTATAAATAATGCCTCTCTGGGCATCTCAAAAAGAAATTCATAGAAAATGAACACTTTACGTTTGAAACCATATAATTACATTATCAAACATGTCAATCTTACAAATGTCAACAATCCTAAAATAATTTAGAACCTAAACGTGATCCTTTGTAAGATTATATGTCCCAAAAGTCAAATTGACTTGTACTCAAGTATAAAGTCGAACAATTTACTCCAATAACCACGGTGAATATAATTACAAACTTTTAAAAAAATTTAACTAAATACCTTTGATATTAACCTTCTTCCTCTTAGCTACCAATGGATTATCTTTCATATAACTTACATAACTATTCCTATTAGACACAGACACATCTATCCTATCAAAGATGTCATATGAAAGTTCCCAGTGATGACCAAGCTTATTAGCTCGATATCCATGAAGCCGAAAGGCATCTAATCCCCTCTTGAAACCAGTAACTGACTCACTAGCTTTCACAAGTGGTGGTAGACTGTTCCAGTAGCGCAAGACCCTTTGGGCAAAGAAATCAGTCTCATTTGTGGTGAATCTATGAGTCTTTGATCTAGCAGCAACGGTCCTACCAGAACGACCAAATAAATCGGAACCATAACCCACAAAGCCTTCCTGGATCTTGAACATCTCAATGAGATCTCCACGAACCCTGCGTTCAAGCAGGGTTGTGAGGTTCAGCTTATCCAGTCTCTCTCTGTACGTCATGAGTCCCAATCCATCAATCATACGGGTGAACGATCTTTGAACACCTTCCAATTCAAGAATCAGTGACCAGTTTCCATGCCTAGCCATTGGAGCCCATGCCTGTGAACAATACTCTATATGAGGCTTTACTAAAGACTTATACAAGCCCAGCATAACGCTTTTCTCCCTCGATATAATATTTCTTGTAAGCCAGGCAATGGTACTATTAGCTTTAGCAATGCACTTTCTCACATGACCCTCAAAGTTGAAGCTGGTGTTAAAGACAACTCCAAGGTCCTTCTCGCTTTCAACACATCTCAAAGGCACACCACCAAACAAGTACTGATTCTTAGGATTACAAGAACCAATTTGCATGACCATACACTTATCTACATTAAAATTTAAACACCAACGAGACTCCCAAAGTTCTAGCAACTTAAATCAGCTGTTCGATTAATAAAAGGATTAAAAATCATTTTAACATCATCAGCAAAAAGTTTGATGATAGCTTTGATTCCTTCTGGAAGATCATTTACAAATAAAAGAAAGAGCAATGGTCCCAAAACACTGCCTTGGGGCACTCCTGAAAGTATATACTTAATCTCAGAAAATTCATCTCCTACTTTAACTTTCATAGACCTCCCTACTAAAAAGTTTTCTAAAATACCAATTATCTCCTCAGGAACACCAACATTTCTTAATTTAACTAATAAACGGTGGTGTGGTACGCTATCAAAGGCCTTAGAGAAATCAAAGTATAATATATCAGCACAGCCACCTTCAGCCAGCAAGTCATTGACAGCGTCAATAGACTCCAGTAGGTTAGATAAGCATGACCGACCCTTCATGAAGCCGTGCTGCGTGCTACTAAGCACCTGTTCAACACCATCGAGAATATACTCCCTAAGAAGCTTCTCATAGGCTTTGCATCGAATTCTATTTGTAAAGAAATTCTATTTGTAAAGAAATTCTATTTGTAAAGAAATACTACATCGTAAAATGGAGAGATCTCCTCGAAATTATTTTGTCTGGTCAATAAGTTCTCCCACAATAACGTAATGTTCTGCCATGGGATTCTATTATTATCAAATATTGAAGAGAAAAGTTATACAGTCGTAGTCAAACCTCTCTATACCGGGCGTCTTAGGTTAAACAAAAAACTGGTATATAGAGGTTCACATGATTCTAATCACCAATATCTGTAGCCTCTAAAATATACATCACTAGGGCCTTGAATCGAGGTACCCAGCATAGCTATAGAAGACCGGTATAGAATGGTTTGACAAAATATCTTATCGGTCATCATGATGTAAACCAAATTAAATCAAATTTAATGACATAAACATCATCACCATTTTTTCAAAACAGTCATCCGTATTCCTTGCAAGGAGCGATTATACAAATGAATTAGACTGGTAACTTGTTTCAAGAACACTCAGACAGTTATGATACTACACAACTAATCAATAAACAATAAGATGCAACACTGACTATGAAATTTTTGTCAAGACAAATTAATATAAACAAACATCAACTCAAACTATTGTGAATAAAAACACATTAAACGAATAAAAGTCCTACAAACATATGAGCAGTTTTATTTTATAGTAGTATTTGAGATAGCGCTCGATTCTTTTATACCCGATGGCGCATGAATGATGAACAATTAAAGCGAACGAGTCGCGCGGCTCCATTATTTAAAGAATTTTATTTGGTATGTATTATGTAGTGTGCGTCGCGTAATATATAATACAAAATTTGTTTGTGCATTTTTACAATTTATCGTAATATTACTTTTGTTCATAACTTTGCCTTAAAGTTAGATTATTCAAATTATTTACTAGATTTAACCTTGTAGCGCGATGCACTACTGGGTCGCGCGCGCATCAAATAATGCTTCTCGCAACCACAGTAGTGTGCAAACCAACATTCGAACCACCAGCAGCTGGTGGTCAATTTCCTACGAACGCGACTTAATTTTGGTTCAGACTGGAGTCGAGCGCTACGTTATAGCTGTATATATAGCTCGTTTCACGACGAAATCCTCATTTATTGAGTTTGTCTGTCGATTACGTTGGTATTTGCATTTTTAATTTTGTATTCGAATGCCGTTCATTTATTTTATTAAATAGTTGTTTTTCGTAACAGCACACTAGTACGTGTTTCCTTTTGTTATTCTTACATAATTAGGAAGATTTTAAACTTCAAGTTCAATACTATAAATAATCAAATATTTACGAACACCGATCATCGGTATGTACCCATTATTGGTATCGAAGTCTTATGTTGAGCTGGATATCGAAAAATTTCAAATTGTAAGGCTGTAATTTTGTACTTGTTTAGGTGTAAAACTGGGATTAACAACTTGATTGCTAGGAGCTAGGAAGATATTTTAGTAATGATGACCCTTTAAACTTAAACTGTCTCTCTAGTGCACTTCGATCGGTTTTCTTTTCAATTTTGATAAAACCTAGTCGTGATCTTTGTTTCAGAACTTCACTAATTTATTAAGTTTTGTAGTTTATATAGACGGAACATGAGCAGATACCATTTGATTAATAATAATATATCCGATTTGATATATTATTCTGTCGGAGTTTGAGTTCAACATGGACACATTTATTAACATCCCGCATGAATTTGTGTCGTCTTCACAATTTTTTGCGCTGAATTTGTATGCTTATTAATACTGCCGCATGATATCAGTAGCTGCTGTGAAACTAGAGTGTATAGCATGTGTATTATACGATGTTTCCCACGTAAAAATCGCAGGTTGTTTTGGTGCGGCTGGGCACTCTACTGGTGATTGACACCAGAGACTGAGAAAAACTTTGACATAATTTCCAAGTTTGATATGACCTAATAACTACCACATTTACAGGAAGTATGGTAATACATTCTTGTCAGCTGTCTGGGCAAATCTTCTCTCGCAGAATTGGATTAAAATTTAATGTATTTTATTTCTCACTTCCAACGACAAACGATGTCGCAATTGTTAGGTACGTAAGATTTGAAGTTATTTTGAGATTCAATTAATAAATTTTAGATTGCAGCTTGATATCACTTAGTATGTACATTGTACTCGGTTGCAAGGGTAGAACTTATGAGAATACTATCATAGTATTATTGCACTATACTATTATGGGTTCATCAAAGTTCGTATCATGATTTGTCACAATTAAACCATCGAGTCACTTGAGGAAACCCGTTAAAGCTCGCAATTGGCGACGAGATAAAGTTTGTGGTACCTCTAGATGTTAAGTTAACTCTCAGGCTCCAATCTTCCTTACTATACCTACCACTCCTTCTTCCTTGATAAGAAGTAGATCCATCTGGAACAGTGAGCTGCTTCTTCCCTTCTATCCCGTACTAGCCTACTCAGCTCTCTCTAAACCGTGAACAACCACTCCCGGTGCTAGAACTTTAACCGCATAATTATAACAGCACAATTCTTTCGCTTGAATCTCAGTCTGCTGTAAGACTGCTGTACCGGTAGAGTTTTTACTTGTATGATTCAGCAATCTGTTCTTTAGATGGTACCGTTACCTCCCGCCATAAGACTGTGCCGTCTTGGTGACCTTGAGAATATCATAAGGTCCGATATATAAGAGCACTATCCAATATCGAGACCCACTCAGGATCCCAAACCACGACTCCTTTCGGTCGTCTGTACCTGCTTTTTTCCTCCCAGCAATGATACTGTCTTTCATCGCTGGCCTTGTTCTTATAAGTGTTCACTCGGCGCTCACAAGATAACATGTTCAGAGATCTGTTGCAGAACCTTGTCGTGCAGTCATTTATATACTCCTTGACTAAGAGCTACTTTACACCTACAGCAAAAATGTGCTAAATGATACCCATCCTCTCCTCACACTACTATACTTGCACTTACCATCCTCATCTTCACCATAGAGGGGGTTAAGAGGGTGGCGTACACAGCATCTAGCACGAACCCAATAAGTGAGTCTACAGTGCGTGTCGAACTACATTGCATGTACCCTTATATATTAATTGAGACAGAATTTTAATAAATCAACAAATTCTTAGAATTTAAAAAGGTAGAATTTAATTCTATGGCATTTATTGAAATCTGCTTTTTTAAAGTTGAGAATTGGTTTCAATTTCTAGAATATCACGATAATGTTGACTCAAAACTGTTTCAGGCAGCTATCAAGTCTCAAGATATGACATAATTTGATAGAATGTTAGTACCAATGCTATCAGTGCATTCAAGTCGAGTTCTCGATACAGGTATTATAATTAGGTTCTATTGACCGTTTTTGTAGTCTTAACTCATTTTTATTTGTTATTATACGACCAATTAAAACCTAGCAAACCAGACTTCTTTATGTGCTAAATGTTACTTTAACCTTAATAATAGCAGCATTGTGGCAGATATCCAGTTACATTTTTTCCAGCCGTATATTATAAATATACAGGGTGGGCCAAAAGTCAGTGTGCAAACGTTGGCCTTAATAGCTCAGTCACTGAGTGCCCAATTGAAATAATTTGTTCTGGTATGACTTACTACTCAGGAGGTGACCGGGATTCCCGGAACCGGGTCAAGTCACATTTTTCATCGCGGTCCCGGTCCCGGTCAAATGCTGATTTATGATCCCGGTCCCGGTTAATTCAGGATTCTTGGTCCCGGTCCCGGTCAATCACTCAAATTAGCGGGGATTTTGACCGGGATCTTTTACATAATTTCATTCACTGTGATTTTAAGTTTTTACTTTCATTCATTGTGAATTTCATCTTTAAACAACCTCTGAGCCAAATAAAACAATGTTTAAAATTGCTAAACAAGTTTAGGTAACTAATATCGTTACATAACTCATAAGTGCAAAGTAACATCAAGTTTTCAACTCGGGCTACGCCCAATTGTCAATTGGAATTGGAGAATGAAACTGTTGAATAATTTGAGGGATCATTGATTGAGGAATGAGGAATGAGGGTGAACTTGAGTAATCAGTACATGAACATTATTGGTGTAGTACATTAGGCCCATGCCCCATATTGACGGGTTTTTACTAGTTTTTTCTAATTTAATATTCTAGTTATTACTTATTCAAATTGTTCAATTATAATGTAAATGAAAGTTGCAGCTTTCAATATGAGAATACCAGTTTTGGTCCCGGTCATCCCGGTCATCCCGGTAAAATTGGATTGTTGGTCCCGGTCCCGGTCCCGGTCCCGGTAAGATAGAAATCCCAGAAATTATTGGTCCCGGTCCCGGTCCCGGTAAATTGATAATCTCAGTCCCGGTCCCGGTCCCGGTCCCGGTCAAGTCACATTTTGTATCCCGGTCCCGGTCCCGGTCCCGGTCAGGCCTGAAATCATGTCCCGGTCACCTCCTGCTTACTACCACCACTGGTTCGAGAAATTTGTCAAATCGAAACATATTTGTGTTCATTTTTTTCAAAAGAAGGTTCATTTTCGCATTTATTTGATAGTTTGGATAATCGGATCGAGCCAAATTTTATTGAATTGTGTTTGGCCATTTAAATTACGTTTGCTCTGAAAAAATGAGAGTATATATATTACTCATGCAACTAAGATAAATTGAGTATAAATACTCAATTTATCCTAGTTTAAGTTGCAAGTTATATAACTCATTTTCTAAAGGTTTCGTAAACTTTAATCAATTACAGAGGGTGTGGCCTCTTTTTCACTGAAAAGACGCCATCAGATTTCATTGCATTCTGGGACCAATTTTGGTGTGATTTAAACTATCCTACAAATTGGTGTTTACTGTTTCGACTTTTGTAAAATCACTGTAATAATATAATCTGTATTCTTATAGTTTCAACCATAATAGTGAAATAGAGGGGCTGGCCAATAGCCACACCCTCTGTAATTGATTTAAGTCTACGAAACTTTCAGAAATTTGTGTGTAATTCGGAGATAAATTAAACAAGTTGTTATTCACTGTGATTTTAAGTTTTTACTTTCATTCATTGTGAATTTCATCTTTAAACAACCTCTGAGCCAAATAAAACAATGTTTAAAATTGCTAAACAAGTTTAGGTAACTAATATCGTTACATAACTCATAAGTGCAAAGTAACATCAAGTTTTCAACTCGGGCTACGCCCAATTGTCAATTGGAATTGGAGAATGAAACTGTTGAATAATTTGAGGGATCATTGATTGAGGAATGAGGAATGAGGGTGAACTTGAGTAATCAGTACATGAACATTATTGGTGTAGTACATTAGGCCCATGCCCCATATTGACGGGTTTTTACTAGTTTTTTCTAATTTAATATTCTAGTTATTACTTATTCAAATTGTTCAATTATAATGTAAATGAAAGTTGCAGCTTTCAATATGAGAATACCAGTTTTGGTCCCGGTCATCCCGGTCATCCCGGTAAAATTGGATTGTTGGTCCCGGTCCCGGTCCCGGTCCCGGTAAGATAGAAATCCCAGAAATTATTGGTCCCGGTCCCGGTCCCGGTAAATTGATAATCTCAGTCCCGGTCCCGGTCCCGGTCCCGGTCAAGTCACATTTTGTATCCCGGTCCCGGTCCCGGTCCCGGTCAGGCCTGAAATCATGTCCCGGTCACCTCCTGCTTACTACCACCACTGGTTCGAGAAATTTGTCAAATCGAAACATATTTGTGTTCATTTTTTTCAAAAGAAGGTTCATTTTCGCATTTATTTGATAGTTTGGATAATCGGATCGAGCCAAATTTTATTGAATTGTGTTTGGCCATTTAAATTACGTTTGCTCTGAAAAAATGAGAGTATATATATATTACTCATGCAACTAAGATAAATTGAGTATAAATACTCAATTTATCCTAGTTTTAAGTTGCAAGTTATATAACTCATTTTCTAAAGGTTTCGTAAACTTTAATCAATTACAGAGGGTGTGGCCTCTTTTTCACTGAAAAGACGCCATCAGATTTCATTGCATTCTGGGACCAATTTTGGTGTGATTTAAACTATCCTACAAATTGGTGTTTACTGTTTCGACTTTTGTAAAATCACTGTAATAATATAATCTGTATTCTTATAGTTTCAACCATAATAGTGAAATAGAGGGGCTGGCCAATAGCCACACCCTCTGTAATTGATTTAAGTCTACGAAACTTTCAGAAATTTGTGTGTAATTCGGAGATAAATTAAACAAGTTGTTATCGGCCACTACACCAGGCACCATGATTATTATTTTACCATGTGTAAACGGAATGTTCTAGCAGACTGTATAATACTATAACATACATTTTCTTACACACACATAATCTAATCTCTGGAATGTTGCTAATTGCTATGATATGGCAATGTTTTGATACTGTGTATTATCATGATTATACCTTACAGGCCGATCTTCCGATGGAGTTTCGGTTGCCATGGCAACAAATCATTATGATAAGGAATTTGTCGTGTACGGTGCGAGCGGTTATTTTATGATAGGTAACATCTACTTTTTCAGCATTTGCGGGATGACCAGTTCACACGTATATTTTCGCAGACACAACTTCGCATAAAATTATATCCAATTATTCTATAACCAATTATCTACACGGACTTCTGTCTAAATATGAATGAAATCGAGAAAACCAAATATTATATGATTCATCCTGAAGTGCTGAGTTCTCACGGCAGTATAATCATGATCCTGATAGATATCGAAGTCTCCTTAAATGATTGTCTCTGCTGCTTAATATATCTGGATTGTCGTTGGGAGGCGATGCAGATTTGTTTACTTTTAAGGGGGAGGTTCTGCTCAGCAGGAGAAAGAGGTGATGCACATTTTGTATTTGTCTGACATGTAGGACTTGAGCCACGTTTCCGTAAGTGCAATAAACGGTAACGAGTGGTTTTTGGATTTCTCCTGAATAAGAGCTGAGATTTTTGGCACTTCCCATCTACTCGCACTTGATGCACTAGGATTCATGGACTGGACATTTAAGACGAGGCATGAGGAATAACGGGCACGTGCAGTGTATCCTCTGAGGCGGTAGGAACTGCTGGTAGTGGTATAGTGGGAGCGCTGTTCCTGGCTGAAGAGGTGGATGTGGTCTGGGGTAGTGGTAGGGCATTTGAGTTTGAGGGAGGCTGGACCGTGGTCGACTGGGGGGGGGGGGGGTGTAATGACTACTTTTGGGGACTTGGGGAATTACGTCAACGATTTTACCCCGAGTCCCCATGATTTTTAGTCCCCATTAGTCCCCAAAAGTCTCCATTAGTCCCCATTTAGATTTCAAAAAATCTGGCTTTTCCAGACCAGATCGTAAACTTCTCAAGACTGAAGTCTAAAATATTTATAAATGGTCACTGGACATTCCTGACTTCTTGGGAGCTACTTGAGGGCTGTTAGAGTACCTCAGGTAAATTAAGGGAGGGGGCGGGGGCGACTACCAATGACAACATTGAGGAGACATATTGCATATATACGCTTATTTTATCAGATTGATCTAGTAACACGAGTTGTAACGCAAGGAAAATAAACGCATTATCAATTTTTCTTATTACTTTTGTATTGGTTTGTCTGAAATGATATGCTCAGTAATTTGAAATTGGCGTTGGTTTCTTTTGTTTTTGACGATCATTTATGGAAATGTTCACAAAAAGGATATTGGAAAGCCCTGTCAGGTGGTGCAGTACCGTTACTCTAGAGACCTGTGCATCGTGCAAGGAGGGCGGGGGGGGGGGGTCCAACCCGATTTCCGATATGAGGGTTGATGAGGCCAAAATCGGAATCGGAAAAATCGGAAAATTGAGAAATTTACAGAATCGATCTCCCGACTACCATGAGCCTAAAACCTCTCAGAAGTGTTATAATTCAACCAGAACCCCTACATGTGCTATATTGTTATGAGAAAACGAACCAATTGGACATACCTATAGTATGTTTTATCACTTTTATGTGTTTTTCCACTGCAGAGGCTAGTATGCTCACTACTAGTCGGAGTTGTCATGTACTCCCAGACCCGAGTGCTTCGGCCTCTTGACGTGAGATCGATTGTTTCTGCTCATTAATTTTATCCCTGTTACTTGTTATTATGTATTAGTACAACACTAGGTACCGGGTTATATTTTGTGGTCCGGTCTTTAAACATACCATAATATCACTAGTACAGGGGAGGGGGGAGCCAAGCGGATATTTGTAGATATTTGGATAATGTCATCCACTTTTTTCGTGAATTATCCATTACAATAATCTACAAATATCTACATTTATCTACAAAAAATGTATATCTCAAATATGTGCCCAGAAATTCTACTGAATTTTTGGAAATAAATGTATAAATTTGTAGAATTTGTAGAATTTTCGTGAATCATCCATTGACAATAATCTACAAATATCTACATTATTTTATCTACAAAAAATGTAATATCAAATATGTGCCCAGAAATTCTACTGAATTGTTGGCGATAAATGTCTAAATTTGTAGAATGTCATCCACTTTTTTCGTGGATTATCCATTCTACATTAATCTACAAATATCTACAAATATCCACTGGCTCCCCCCCTAGTACACTGCACCTTAAATGTATAGTCAATTACATTTGTATTGTAACACATGCTTGGCTGGGGGATCATGTTTTGTGTCCGTTCGGTACCCTTTATTTTCAAAACGGACAAAAAGTAGGGCGGACAAAAACGGACAAAAACAGACAAAACATTTAGATGTCCTCCTCCTCCCTAGTCTTCCTCCTCCTTCTCATCAGTCCTCTTCCATCTCCTCCTAAGTTTTCCTCCTCCTGGGCCTGAGTCCTTCTCCTCCTGAGTCCTCTTCAGTCCTGTTCCTGGCTCTTCGTCCTCCTCCTCGTCCTTCTCCTCAGTCCTCCTCACCCTCCTCCTCAGTCCCCTCCTCCTCAGTCCTACTCCCAGTCCTTCTCCTTCTCCTCCTCCTCCTCATCCTCATTTCTCATCCTCCTCCTCCTTCTCCTGGCTCCTCGTCCTCCTCCTCGTCCTTCTCCTCAGTCCTCCTTACCCTCCTCCTCAGTCCCCTCCTCCTCAGTCCTACTCCCAGTCCTTCTCCTCCTCATCCTCATTTCTCATCCTCCACCTCCTTCTCCTCCCCATCAGTTCTCCTCAGTCCTCCTCATAGTCGTCCTCCTCCTGAGTCCTCCTCATCCTCCTCCTGAGTCATCCTCCCCAGTCCTCCTCCTTCTCCTCCTCCTCATCAGTCCTCATCCTCTGTCCTCCTCATAATCGTCCTCATCCTCGTCCTTAGTCCTCCTCCTCCTTATCCTCCTCCTTAGTCCTCCCCCAGTCCTCCTCCTCATTCTCCTTGTTCTCCTCCTCCTCCTCATCCTCTTCCTCCTTCTCCTCTTTCTTCTCCTCCTAATCATTCCTCCTCCTCAGTCGTCCTCCTCCTCGTCCTTAGTCCTCTTCCTCGTCCTCCTCAGTCTTCCTACTCAGTCCTCCTCAGTCCTGATCCTCATCATCCTCCTCCTCCTCAACAGTCCTCCTCCTCCTCAGTCTCCTCCTCCTCAGTCTCCTCCTCCTCAGTCTCCTCCTCCTCATCCTCCTCCTCCTTCTCCTACTCCTAAGTCCTCCTCCTTCTCCTCCTCATCAGTCATCATCCTCAGTCCTCCACTAGTCATGCTCGTCCTCGTCCTTAGTCCTCTTCCTCTTCCTCCACCTGAGTCCTCCTCCTCCTCCTCGTCAGTCCTCCTCCTCCTCTTCAGTCATCCTCCTGAGTTCTCCTCCTCATCCTCCTCCACTTCCTTAGTCCTCCTCCTGAGTCATCCTCCTCTTCTTCCTCCTCAATCTCCTCCTTATCCTCCTCTTCCTTCTCCTCCTCCTTCTCCTCTTCTTTCTCCTCCTGATCAGTCCTCTTCCTTAGTCCTCGTTATCATCCTCCTAATCCTCGTCCTTAATCCTCGTCCTCATCCTCTTCATTCTTCCTCCTCAGTCCTCCTCCTCCTTCTCCTCCTCATCAGTCCTCCTCCTCCTCAGTCCCCCTCCTCCTCAGCCTCCTCCTCCTCCTCCTTAGTCCTCATCCTCAGTCCTCCTCCTCCTCATCCTCCCTAGTCCTCTTCCTCAGTCCTCATCCTCTTCCTCCTCAGTCCTCCTCCTCAGTCCCCAGTCCTCCTCCTACTCGTCAGTCCTCCTCCTCCTCATCCTCCTCCTCCTCCTCAGTCCTTCTCCTCCTCGTCAGTCCTCCTCCTCCTCCTCCTCCTCCTCCTTCTCCTCCTTCTCCTCCTTTTCCTCCTTCTACTCCGAAGTCCTCCTCCTCCTCAGTCCTCCCCCAGTCCTCCTCCTCATCTGCATCAGTCCTCCCCCAGTCCTCCTCCTCATCAGTCCTCCCCCAGTCCTCCTTCTCCTTCTCCTCATCCTCGGTCCTCCTCCTCATCATCCTCCTCCTCATCATCCTCCTCAGTCCTACCCCAGTCCTCCTCCTCAGTCCTCCCCAAGTCCTCCTCTTCCCCAGTCCTCCTTCTCCTTTTCCTCATCCTCAGTCTTCTTCCTCATTCCACCTCCTCCTCCTCCTCCTTCTTATCAGTCCTCCTCTTCAGTCCTCCTCCTCCTCATCTTCGCTCTCGTCCTCCTCCTCAGTCCTCCTCGTCCTTAGTCCTCCTCCTCCTCCCCGTCCTCAGTCCTCCTCCTCCTCCTGAGTCCTCCTCCTCCTCATCATTCCTCCTCCTCCTCTTCAGTCCTCCTCATCCTCCTCCACCTCCTGAGTCCTCCTCCTGAGTCTTCCTCCTCCTCCTCCTCCTCATTCTCCTCCTTATCCTCCTCCTCCTCAGTCCTCATCCTCCTCCTCAGTCCTCCTCATCCTTAGTCCTTCTCCTCCTCCTCCCCGTCCTCAGTCCTCCTCCTTCTCGTTTTCCTCCTCCTTCTCACCAATCCTGCTCCTCTTCCTCAGTCCTCCCTCTCATCTTCAGTCCTCCTCCTCCTCAGTCCTCCTCGGTCCTTCTCCTCCTCCTCAGTCCTCCTCAGTCCTCCTCTTTCTCCTCAGTCTTCCTCCTTCTGGGAGGAGTAACTGTAAGATTCTAAGGAGGAGTAACTGTAAGATTCTAATCGATCATCATTTTCCCCGATAATGTCCATGCTGATGGGTCAAAAGATTCAAGAGTTCAGCGAGTCGGCTTCTTCTACCTTCACGAGAGCTAAACTTCAATTTACCTCAATCTGAACTGACTTGTACAGTGGTAGAACACATTACAACCGGGCTTATCATTTTACTTTTAAGTCAGATTTATCCTACTCTTATCTTGGACAAAACATCTCGATCGTATCGTTATTAAACTAACTTGAAAACCATAAATAACTGTCAAAAATTCTGGGGACTTGTGGGGACAAATGGTGAATTACGTCAACGAGTTGACCTCTAGTCCCCACGATTTTTAGTCCCCATTAGTCCCCAAAAGTCTCCATTGGTAGTCATTACCCCCCCCCCCCCCCCCCCCCCCCCCCCCCCCGGTCGACTATTTCTGATAGGAGTCCGATCCTGGTTTGCATCGTTTCCAACAGTCTCCGTAACTATAAAAATCCTGTGACCTGGTATTGGTTACTTAAACTTATTTAATTGAACATGGTGTTTGACGTTGGAGCTTATCACTTTACAGTTTACATCACCTTACCTGAATAATTGAATAGGATGAATACTGAATAGCATTTATTAATGCTGTCTTTACCCGGAGAACTCTGTTTTACTTGTCCCTCGGTAACACAAGACCGTGAGCCGTGACACTTAGTCACAATAATTAAGTCATAAGTCAGAAAGAAGTCCATAATTCGTACACCCATGATTATGTTAAATATAGATTGACTCCAGTCTCCATTGTTCAATGATTTCATCAAAATGTTTTAGGAAAATGTTCACAGATTTGTTAATTTTGGACTCAAATTAACGTTGAGAAAAACTGAATTTATTTTGGAAAAATCCCGGCTAAAACCAAAATCCCGGCCGGTACCAGTATACCGGTACAAAATCGCCAAATACCAGCCGGTATTCCGGCTGCGCCGGTATCCCGGTCGAGTTCTGTCTGAGACCTAATTTTATCTATTTCTCGTGCAATTTTAGATCAGACACAGTCATCTAAATTATTTAATAAGAAGGTTTAAATTATAGGCAATTAAAAACAATTGGGACTATCATTGTTTATGAGTACATATTATACGAATATAAGGTGGTTAATATAATTATAACACATTTAATATAAAACATTTAAGACACATTTTTTTATTCCTGCATTGTACTCAAGGAGTAAAGATACAGTTAAACTGCGAAGGCACAACACCAAACCAACCTTACTCTATCTCCCAAAAACAACCTTCTCCTGGTCAGCCATGTCCCTCATCCTGCACTTGACCCCCGCAGAGGTCACAAGCCCATCGGAGCACAAATGAGCGAGAAACGGGGAAGCCTTAGCTACCGGGCTAAGGACTGCATCACTAGCAGCGAAATACGGATATACCCTCCCTTTTACATGCGTTCAACCGGCACCCGAACCACACGCTGTTTCTTAGACATAACTTCCCACTTACATCAGTGTCTTCTCGCATCAACTGGCATCGGCAAGTGGCGACACTGTGTAGACTCAACCCTGAGCTTGATCAGAATCTTCAGTCACAAACCTGACACCGTTTCGGGGCTTTCATTGCGATACGGTTTTCTGTCAGGTGCCCCAGCAGTCTCTCTTGGACCACCATCTGATCTGACAATCACCCGAGGATACCTGCTAGAGCTCGCGATTTACGACGAGTTAGCTTATGGCACCTCTGGCTGTTAGGTGAAGTCATAAAGCTCAAACAGCTCTCATCTCCCACTCTCTTTTCCTAGACAGCAGATAAATCCATCTTGAACAATGGGCTGCATCCTTCCCACAATCTCTGACCAACTTCTTGAGGGCTCTCCCAGTCAGACCAATCTTCCTTGATGCACACTCCAAACTTGCTGCGACCACACCTCTAGCACCAACCTCAACAGCAAAGCTGAAACATGACCACCCATTAGCTTGTATTTCCGCTTGTAGACTGTTATACCGATCAAGCTTCAGCTCATGGGATGCAGCTATTCTCTCTTCCGACGGTACTGTAAGCTCCCACCAGATTACTCTCTTGGAAGCTTTCGAGAAAAGAACCAAATCTGGTCTTAATCTGGTCGTTGCTATATCCGACGGGAATTTCAGCTGCTCATCCAGGTCTGCTAATACTATCCAATCAGTGGCCCCACTCAGAATCCCAAACTCACTGACTTTCGACCTCTTCACCTCCTTAAACCTCCCTCCTGCTGGAACAAACTCAATGGCTTTCCGAGTGACACAAGAGCTCTTCCTCTTGTTGACTCTCCGCTCACAATGGAATTTCACTTGGTCTGCTATTTGTTTAAGCACCTTATCGTGGCGCCATCGGTATCTCCCTTGACTTAGTGCCACAGGACAACCAGCCAGAATATGCGGCACAGTTCCCAACTTGTCACCACACAGCTTGCACATCCCATCCTCATCCTCGCTCCACTTGGATGCTAAAGCTGGTGTAATAAGCGTGCCATACACAGCACTAAGCAGAAAACCGATTAATGAGTCCCCATACTTGAAGAGCGTGTGCCAGCTCATGTCAGTCCTTGTCACCAGCTCTCTCCAATTACCCCACCTGGACTGCATCTCCAACGTACCCAACTGCACCTCTCTTTCCTTCCTGATGTTCTCCTTAACCCTATCCAACACCTCCCTCTGCTGCTCCTTTTCTGACATCTTCTCCCAGGGCTTCTTCCAATCACCGAAACCAATTCCCGCTCTACTAAGAGGTTGCACCATACCTCGCACTGACTCACACACCAAGTCTCTTTCAGCTTCGTGAAGCTGAGCATCTGCCTTCCAAACTCTCCCAGACCGCACCTGGGGTTGCACCGCTCTGATCAAAGCATCCTGAGATGTTTGATATGACTGCAAGAGACGGCACTTTTCTACTTTCCAAGTGTCGGTTAGGTTGTCGATGGGGAGAGCAACACTGGATGAATGACTAAACAGGCAAGAGCTACTAAGCGTGTGTCCCACTCCTAGCCATTTTCTGAGATGACTGTTAGTTGTTTGCTCCCAGCGAGAAACAGTGCTGATCGGGATATCATAAATGGCAAGTGGCCACTTCATCTTTGGAAGGACCATATACTGATACCCCCAACATTTCTGCAGGCCGGTGAGGGAGCTAAGATCGAGTCTACTGAGGTATGTAACAAGATCCTCGTGTGTTTTCTCGATTATAGCTTTGTCCTTTCCTTCTGCCCGAATCCACCTCCCTAGAAACTTGATTGGTTTCTCAGATACATTCGGGATCACCTCCCCGCTAAGCTGCAACCTCGCCTGACTACCTTCTGAACTCTCTACAACCCACTCCACTGTCACTCCCTTCTGGTAGACTAGTGCCCTAGACTTAGACGACTTAAGCTTGAACCTTGACCACACAACGAACTCCTGATAAACATCAAGCAGGGTTTGCATATCTACCATTTTAGCCGTGGTAAGGCAGCTATCATCCATAAACAGCTTAAGGGGTGGTATAGCTGTTCCATCCTTAATGTACTCGACACTCCTGGGTACCTTCATCTTCAAGTACTCGTCAGAAAGGTTCATGCATAGCACAAACAAGATCACCGAGATGACACAGCCCATAAATATTCCTATCTCGAACTGCTGCCACTCTGATGTCACTGTTTTAGAGGAGAATCTTCCGTAAACTTCCGAGAAGTATTTGATAACGATGTTGATAACTTTCTCGGGGATATGATAGAAGCGGAGTGCTTTCACAATAAGTAAATGTGGAACAGCCCCGTAAGCATTCGCCAAGTCTAACCAGACAACACTCAGATCCTTTCTCTTAACTCTAGCATCTTTGAGCACCTCCCACATAGCTCCAAAGTGCTCTGTACATCCGTGTACACCAGGAACTCCACCCTTCTGCACAGAGAGATCCACATACCCGTTAGCGACAACAAAGTTGGTTAATCTTTTCGCCAACACAGCGAGGTATATCTTCCCCTGAATGTTTCCTAGCGATATAGGACGTCCTGTGCTGGGTCCAAAATCTCCATCCGCCTTAGGAATGTAGATCCCTTCAAAGTACCTACAGTTGTCTGGGTACTCCTCAGCCTTGTAGCCTCCTCTCAGCACATGCCACAAGTTCTGAGATATTCCTGGACACCTCTTGTACACCGTATACGGGATGCCGTTGTTACCAGGTGAACTCTTACCTCTGGCTTTCTTAACAACCTCTTCGAACTCCTTCTTGGTTATATTCCTGCTGTCAAACCCCACAGTTGGGCTAGGAGCTGCCTCAGGTAACCCATTCAGAACGCCAAGAGGAACTGCCCGACTGGCATCACTATACGTATTAGACAGGTGGTTGTCTAACTCCTCCTTACTACACTTTAACTCTCCCACAGGGCTTGGTTCAAGAATACCTTTAATAGCCTTGAAAGGATCTCGAGTAAACCCACCTCTCTGTCTCCTCACTTCTCTCTGCTTCTTCCTCCTTGCCTCTGCTCTTCTCAACTTACACAGCTTCTCTGCCAGGCCTCTAAGCAAAGCATTGAAACCATCCTTTACAGACTGGGAACAAGCTTTCCTGGCTTTCCTCCTCAGCACTCTCCTCTCAATGACCAACTTATCAATCTCCTCCTGTCTCCTGTTGGCAAACCTGAGACATAGGTTTGCCAACAGAGTTCTGTCTGAGACCTAATTTTATCTATTTCTCGTGCAATTTTAGATCAGACACATGGTCCCCTCCTCAAGACCTCACCTACCCCCAAGAAAGACACCACAGCCAAAACAGTGATCAACCTCTCTGGACAGACCCTCTCCACAGCTGAAACTGACGTCCTCTCCCTTGGACTGAAGTTCGTCCCGACACCCACCTCAGATCCTACCCCCGACCTGGCTCCCCTCATACAGAATATCACTAAACAACTAGGAGAAGGCATGGAAGCCTCAGCCACATATCAGGTCACCTCTGTATTATCTAAATTTGACAATAAACGTGACATGACCACCGACAATTTGACTCCACAACAACGTACCGCTCTTAAATCTTTAAAGTCTAAGAAATCTGAATTGAAATTTCTACCTGCTGATAAGGGCAACGCCACTGTTGTACTGACTCACGATCAATACATAACCAAAGTTACCGACCACTTATCCTCAGGTAGTTACACCCTCTTAACGAAAGACCCCACTCAATCCGTTACCACTAAACTACAGAAAGTCCTCAAGAAACTACACACCGACAAGAAGATCACGACCGACCTATACCACAAGATGCGCAACCTACATCCTAGATGGCCTCAACTTTACGGACAACCTAAGATACACAAACCCGGCGCACCTATCCGTCCCGTAGTCAGCTTCTACAACACCCCCCTCCAAGCCCTCCACAAAGTCCTCGCATCTTTCCTCAAACCCCTAGCCCAGAACCCCTTACGCCTCAAAGACTCTTCCGACTTCAAACATCGCTTCGACTCCTCTCTCAATCCCTCCTTCCACTACCACGCCTCCTTAGACGTCCAATCCTTGTACACCTCCTGTGACATGCGCCTATCCCTCAAAACTGTCATCTCCTCCTTTGAACAGAACCCCTCTCGTCTTCCCTCCAATGTCACCACCACCACCATAGGCTCCCTTATCAACTTTTGCCTTGACAACTCATACCTTGAATTCAACGGCTCCTTCTACTCCCAAGACGAAGGTGGTACAATGGGATCCCCCCTCATTGTTGAACTAGCTGAAATCCGCCTTGCTGAAATCGAGACCTTAGCTTTATCCTCATGTCCTGACCCTCCGAACACTTACTCCCATTTCGTTGACGACGGCCTTGGATCTTTCAGAGACAGAAACCACGCAGAATCCTTCCTTACATTCCTTAACTCCCTTACTGAAGACCTCAACTTTACCCAAGAACATCCCTCTACAGACGGAACTATACCCTTCCTTGACGTTCTCATCCACCCTGACAAATCCACATCAGTCTACAGAAAACCCACCCACACCAACCTCTACACCAAGTACTCCTCCTGCACCACCAACTCATCTAAGAACGCAGTCATCCGATCACTGACCAGAAGAGCCCACAACATCTGCTCACCCCAACACCTTGACGACGAACTCCAGACAGTACGACACGTTTGCCTCCAGAACGGCTTCCCTCCTCACCGCATCACCACCATCATGGACGAAGTACAACGGAAATTCACCAACCCCTCTCGCCACCAATCCCTAGCCTCATTCAACCGACAGACCCGTGAACATGCCCTTAGTGTTTCTCTTCCTTTCCATCCCTCCCTATCCAAACCCATCTCCAAGATACTCGGACAACACGACATCAAAGTCACCCACTCCTCTGCTACCTCCCTCCGCAACCTCCTCACCAAAACGAAGACCACACCCCCTACTCACCTCACTCCCAACACCATCTACGAAATTTCCTGCTCACAGTGCCCCTCCAAATACGCCGGACAGACCTACAGACCCTTGGTCCACCGCATGAAAGAACACGAACGATGTTACAGACTCAACAACGCCATCGACGAATCCACAGACAGAATCAAATCAGCCCCTGCACATCATGCCCTGACCACCGGCCACACCATCTCCTGGAACAACATCGAAGTCCTCAAATCCCTCACCTCACGCTCCCAACTTGACCTCACAGAACACGCAGCTATACAAATACGACAACCAGCTATGAACAGAACAGACCGCGCACCCAAATGTAGTTCCCTCTGGGACCCCATTCTTCCTAAAATTGCCAAATCCTTAAAGTCCAGACCATCTGGCATTTCCTTCTCAACCTCAACAGAAGACTAAATTTTTATTGACATTGTACTGTAATTTTCACTTTCCCACCCACACCTCCCCCACCCTCCATCCCTGACACCACTCAATCACATATAAGCATTGTCCACCACATCACATTCAGCTGACGACGATTAACACATGTTTATTGAAAGCTTCTACAAGTTAAATCATCGTATCTCTTATATGTTTTTAACCCAACTCCACTCAGACACAGTCATCTAAATTATTTAATAAGAAGGTTTAAATTATAGGCAATTAAAAACAATTGGGACTATCATTGTTTATGAGTACATATTATACGAATATAAGGTGGTTAATATAATTATAACACATTTAATATAAAACATTTAAGACACATTTTTTTATTCCTGCATTGTACTCAATAATTTAACTAGTAATATTATATAAAAACCACATTTCTATTTGTACAGGGAGCTGCTGGTAAACTACCGTCGCTATACATCGACTATGACTACAATCCTACTTTTAAAAACAAACTACATACATATCTCACATTTGCGAGGACTACTTCATCACAAGCAAAAAATCGCCATTGGTAAATAAAGTAGGTTCTTTTCACTGACTTCGTTAAATGAGTTACATATTTTCACACAAATTACGTGCGTGATCATTAAAGGGTTGCTTGTGTGCAGTTACTTCTGGGCCAGCGCCACCCTGTTGGGAGTTTTCACATAAGTAAATTTGCCGATAATACAATTTTACTCATTCTGGACATGTTACCTATATTATCATTATACTAGTATTTCTTCAGGTCTGTCTTCTATAACCACGATGAAAAGAAAAGCTGGGCGAAAAAATTTGAGACTGCAGAACTGGAACACTCTATTTGAAGACAGTGGCTGCTGAGTGCTGAGCTGCATCAAATCTATCAGCATCATGTAACTTCGATCAGGAACAGACTCCATTTCATTTCCGACAACTAGCACCTGTTTTCCCTAGACTTACCAAGTATTAAGTAACTGCATTAGTATTAGGTTAAATTAAAGGCCCTACATCGAACAAGTCTAACAATTAAAACTTAAATGCAAGAGTGCACAATTTATCACTACATATCTTCCTCTTTTAATTCTAATCAACACACGGTTTCGTCTTTGTTTCACCCAATCGTGCTGATAATCAGTAATCATGCACTCTGCACTCTAACTTCGAGATGTTTCAAAAGGGCTCCCGACGATTTGAATTATATCAATATTTTCTTTTGATACATAGATACTGATTGGGAGGTTCATCATACTATTCTTGTCACATGGTAACGATTAACGATTAGCTGATCAGCTTCCAGCATCGACAGGCCGAAATCCATAAATATAATCAGTTGTAATAATAATTATGCACACCTATAATTAACGATTATCCATCTGCCGATGATCGATTACCATTTAATATTTATCATCGTCCGGATCATCATAATATTTTAATTTAAAGTTACAATTGAACGGTGTTAAGAAAGATAATTTAAGAGAAATGTTTTGAAAGTGCCTGATTTCGAGTATAAGATCTGTACTGATACATTAATTTTCAGATTGTTATTATATAGTTTATTTGTATTTGTTATATTATCTTATCCGCACAAGTTCGGAAGCCATCTGAACGGTATTGCCAGACACAGGCATATATTTATTTTGGGGTATCATGCTCTCAGAAATTTCAACTCAGTCCGATATTATAGTTATACTAACCTGCATTGCATAAGGTTAATTGTCTCTCAGTCTAGTGCATAAACCTTTTATTTTGCATAAACCCTTTATTTTGATTGGGAAAACTTTAGTTTAATGTGGTTACCGTCTCTAAAGTTGGCATGATAGTTAATAAACTCTTATCTATTATGTCACTGAAGATGACGCCTTTCAACATGTTTGACGATAGCCTGTAGATTGATAGTTTGATCTCAGTATTTACAACAATTCATCTAGTTCGATTGATTCAAAGGGAAACAAATTCCTCTCTTATCTATTATGACTATATTTAAATTCAATCCTGTAAAGTAATACTCCTTTTTTAGTAATTTATACATGTGTTTTCTCCTTCTGATTTTTAAACTATTACCGGTCACGCTGAATAATAATGACATCAGTGAATTTAAAGCTATCGTTAACATCACTCAGAAAATGCGCGTCTTTAGCGCGTGTCTTGTTGTTATGCATCAATCCTTCGGTAGATCGGCGAGATGCACCACTGTGCCTCACCGAGCTGCGAAGGATTGACATCGTGAATCAAGATTTAACCCTTATTCGATATTTTAAAATATAACTAAAAAATTAAAGTGGATTCATTTGTTTTAACATTAACAATCAACTTTGTATTAAAATTTATTGTGCAATTAATTTATGAAATTTTAAAGCGCAGTAAGTTATTAGTATGTAGTATTTTCCACAAAATCACAAAGCACACTTTCCGAATTGTGCACGTACATTGCAGTAATTTCTTTTAAATACTTCATGAATCCAGATAGATTCTTTTATTAGTTTAGAATTAATGTTGCATCACGTCCTGACCCCCATTGTCGCTTCACTAAGGGGAAACTTTATCGTTTTTAGGAGCCACGCACTCGTGCGCGGCGGGCCATACAACCAACAACGCGTATGACAATCCAACTCGGCGTGCGTCTTATCTTGGTTGTCATACGTTGTATGACCCTGTGAAGTGTGAAACGACCGTAGGTATCACAACGTGTTACAAATTTTGCCGATCTAGTGGTTGCGAGAAGCATAACAGAGGCCGAGGCGCGGCGCGGCACATGCACAGTAACGCATGATCGCGCTACACCCAGATCGTTGCTTTGCCATTTGATTCACGATGTCAATCCTTCGCAGCTCGGTGAGGCACAGTGGTGCATCTCGCCGATCTACCGAAGTGGTTGCGAGAAGCATTATTTGATGCGCGTGCGACCCAGTAGTGCATCGCGCTACAACTTTGCCATTTGCGAATTAACATGGATAATAATAGTTTGCGCGGCGTGTCTGGTGTCGAAGCGGCGAAGTCCTCCGAGAAAATTTATTTTATATGTTATAATTTGATACTGATAAAGTAAATTAAAATTATTTTAGATTTATACTGTATACCTTATTAACGTAAATTGAACGCGCGTTCCGAATTACTTCGTCATTTTAAATTTTTATATTTCACCTTCGAACTCTGAACTCATTGAAAATTTCCCAGAAAAAGTTATTGGCTGGTGGTGGTACTAGAGTTGGTTTAATTTAAACAGACGGCATGACCTCGCGCGCGATGATTTGCACGCGTGGCGCATTCCAATGTTCAAGCAGTTACCACGTGACACAATTCAGCCAATCAGAGTACAGTCGAATTTGACGGATGTTACTCGTCTAAATTTCTTCGAAGTAGCGCGCGCCGATATATGGCAAGATTGTATCACGTGGTGACCCCCACGGTCGCTTCACTATAGTGAAGGGGGAGCCGGTGGCGATTACGTTTTCACCTCTTGAGGGAATCCTACGCATGTTGTTAACTGTCAGACTTTGGACGAGGAAATGTTCTCGCGCCGTACGTTTATTATGGTAAAGCATTTCGGTACCAGAACGATAAATCTGTTTAAAATAAAAAGTTAAAAAGTTCGAAAATAGAGTGTTTTAGTGAATAACTTAGAATATATTTTTGATTTTCTCAAGGTCTGACTGATAGATTTTCTTTAAACTTTTCAGATAGTTACAAGGCTATATGACGGATAATGTGTGAGAGTTTGGGAGAATTTATATGTGCCAAACTTGAGATATAATGACTTCAAACACAAGAAAATATATATATACAAGATATTGCGAGCGTCCTGTTACTCTCTTAGATGCAATATCTGTAAAGTATTGGATGAGAACTGATTTTAAGTAAGGATTTTAAATTAAGTTCAGGATTATAAAAAAATTCTCCGATTTGCAGTTCGAATTATATGTGCTTGTGATGCATCCGGCATCAGCATAATCTCAGAGGAAACATCTCTCGCGTGCATATCTTTTTTATCTTTTTTAGCAGAACTCTTTCCTCAGAAAGTCACCGAGTAAAAATGAAAAAGTCAGATGACTGTAACAAAGCAGCAGAAATCCCACACATTAATAGCCCTCTCTCATCACTATGCTTATTATCAAACATGTCAATCTTACAAATGTCAACAATCCTAAAATAATTTAGAACCGAAACGTGATCCTCTGTAAAATTATATGTCCCAATAATCAAATTGACTTGTACTCAAGTATAAAGTTAAACAATTTACTCCAATAACCACGGTCACTAGCAAGTTCTCTCAAATGGAGAATATCACCATACGACTCCAGCAAGATGAAGCGCTTCCAGAGGTCAACCTTCAGGTGGTGCAGGAGGTTACGTCTGTGAGCCCCGAGTCTACCGACTTCAATACACATCTCGACAGCAAAACACAGCGCAGCTTGAGCTGGTGATCTTTCATCGCTCCTCAGTATGTGTCCTAGCATCTTCTACCTAGATAACTCAGCACGCTCAGACATAGGGGTAGAGTTACTCTGTTTGTAGAGGGTATCTTTGGACATCATACTGCGTGGCCAGCTGACATTCATGATCTTTCTGAGGTGGTTACGGTGACATGCATCTAGTTTGTCCCAGTACGATTTAGGCATTCCCCAGCAACTAGAGTTATACATGAGGATAGATACTACTTGGGCCTCATAGACCTTCAGCTTCTTCTGTAGGGGGATCTTACTCTGGCACCAGACCTTCTTGAAGTTCTGGAATGCTACATTGGCTAACATGATTCTTCTGGTGACATCTTTCCTACTTTCTAGCAGAGAACCCAACAACTTGCTACTGCACCATTCTTCATTCATTCTAAGGGGTTTACCATCATCTATGACCTCATCTTTCCCAGCTATGTAGACGTGTACATCACTATGCTGAAATTAAAAATATAATTTTTGACTGTACAATGGTAAGTAACTTTTCAAATCTCAATCAGGTTTTAATTATCTCAGTTACTCGCCAGATTTTGAACGATTAGGCGCTAGACAGTATGATTCTAAAGATTTACAATCTTAAATTTTGTCCTACCTTTGTTCATCCTTAGAACAACATTACGAAGTACTCCAGCGGACGAAGTACTCCAGCGGAGGAAGTACTCCAGCGGACATCTGAGCAAAAACGATTTCACTCGACCAAGGTACTGGAGCTGAAAAATTTTGAGTCATATTTCTTTTGTAAACAAGTGAAAAAGAAGTACTAAATTACAAATGGATTCTTACTGTCGACATGTTTGCAAAACCTCGGTAAAACTCGGCTTGGTAAAGTTTTTAATTTGTATCGTACATTTTGAACGTTAAGATCAAAATGTACGATAAAATGTAATTCAAACATCAAGCATTTGTGAGATCAATTATAAACGTTGCATAGAAGATAAACTGAAGTTTCACCCGGGTAACAGCTGATTATCAAGCCTGGAAACAAGTTATTTAGATGGATTTGAGCATGACGAGTGACGACATATGTAACTCGAGATCACACATAAGCCCGGCAATATCCAAGTAGCCCGATGGCCGACACGTGTTCACGAACAGTTTTTCCACTTGTACTAACCGATTTGACAGTGCTGCATGTCTTGATAGCAGGTTTTTTGATATCAGGTTTCTTGATAACAGGTTTCTTGATAGCAGGAATGCTCTCAATCTTCGGACTACTCTTTGGCTGAAAAACAATAGTTATTTCAATGAATGTTTATACCAAATGAAAACGAATGTAGGATAGTACACATTGCTGCGATAAGTTATGAAGCGTACGTTACAACATTCATACTATAGCTATGTTACATCGATTCTTTGACATTTGACACGATATACTTACAGGGAGAAAATCATCCTAGCTCGAACTGTATGTTTCTTGGAGCAATTTGTTCATTTGTGATGAAATATTGTTCCTGGGCAGGTAACAGTTAAATTAAATAAGTTTTGGAATGTAAGTCAAAACCATGTAAATCTATTAAGTTGATCAACCAAATAATGGCATAGGTGGTGTCCAACCGTGTCCATGTCGATTGGGCGACATCTGTCCGACAACGACATCTGTCCGACAGCCGAATTAGGGATTTCGGACAGATATCGCTGTCGGACAGGAGTCGTTTTTGGCGACATCTGTCCGAATTTCGGATCATATTGTAATTTCGGTTCACATTCGTATTTCAGAAGCTCACAGGTAATCTTCAAATCTTGTGACTTTGCTCCCATTGTTCTAATGCTGATGTGATCCATTGAGATATGATCCATCGATGATTCGATACATGATTGACTAGTTGAGAACAGGAACGTCAGATCGTGCTAGCCGTAAACTAACAAGCTGGCGATCACATCACAGTACATATAAGACAGCGGTATGGAGATTAGTTATCGTAATCCACAATTGCAACTAATCTTCAGTTTATCCCTGGACCCAAACAAGGCTCGGAGAACCCTGTCCTGAATGGCTTCCGATACGTCTTCGACAAACGAAGAGACGACACCACCCACAATTATGACGGTCCATGATAATGGATCTATAATTTAATTTTAATCCTGTGTAATCCTGTGTAATCCTGTGTAATCCTGTGTAATCCTGTGTAACTGTGTAATCCACCCACTAGAAATATTCGGATTTCCGAAAGGGTTGCAGAGCCCGCATCTCTACCGTGGACAAACAACTGATCACTCCTACTACAGTACTACTGCCCACCATGCTGAAATGACCGTCCACGTCAGCAAACAGAACTTGAAAAGAAAAGCTTCTGGTGGAGATCAACCGACGAAATACCTCGTATCTGAATCAGTTGGTGGATTGGGTTATGAATCTAGAGCAAAGCTTGGTTTCCAGCTATCACCCCTCAACAGAATGGTACAGAGCTGCAGAAAAGCAGCAAACAGACACCCTTCTAACCCTTCTAATCTGGAAACACTCTCCATTCCTGCAAACTATATGCTCTCTACCGACAATGAACCAGTGATGCTCTGGGACTCTGGATGGGACGAAAATACTCGACGATCTTTCCTTTAAGGGGGCCGGGGGGGGTCTTCATCAAAATTCTCTCGAAATTGATTTTATAGTTGTTTCTGATAGAGGGGAGTGATATCTATCAGCTGCTTTTGGTCCCATGGAAAAATATTGTTCCTAGCCGAAATTATCGCTGGTCAAAGGTCAGCGCTCATGTGTAATTGGGTGAACGGACCGAATCACTACATGACTGAATCCCTAACGGACTGAATCACTACCAATCACTATTGGTAGGGATTGAGGTATATTTTAGGACTGAATCACTACCGGACTGAATCACTACCGCTAATATCTAAACCTAACCACTTTGATGTGATCCCTACTGAACTTTGCAATAAAGGCATAATTATTCGTATTTCATTAGTTAATTATTTTATTTTTTGTTAATTATTATTAGATTTTTCGTGATAATTGACTAAGCAGAAATTTGGTCAAAGAATAATAGATAATATACTGATACAGTAATTTAAATCACACAATAATAAGTAAACATTAAAGCATTAACCCAAAATCTTAGATCCAACAGCTTTCAGAAACTCGGTAACATCCCCAAAGTTATCATAATCATCAACAATACGTTGCATCTCCAGGTCAAACTTCTCCCACTTTGCTGCTCTCTTGAAGGGTCTTCTGGTGAGGATGTTGGTGATCTTCATGTCTGTCAAAGCCTGCTCCCTCTTGATGCACTCTAAGAACTCCAATCTGCATGAAGGACTTTCTTATAGGAGAGTTGTCGATAGAGTAGTCAGCAGCAAGTCCCTCGCTCTGCAGGTGTCTCCACAAGGACTGTTTGAAGTGGAACCAGCATCCTCTCAAGGTAGTACCAGGCCAGACGTTGGAGACTGCGTTCCTGATAGCGATTTCATAGTCCACCAGCACCGACTGAGGGTAGAAGGGTCCGTAGGAGTCCAGTTCGTTGAGGATGTTCTCGTACATGATGGTGCGCTTCCCGGGTAGGAGTCCAAAGGCTGCAGGGATTCTCCATCCAGTAGGGTGTAAGGCGTGGACTGTGAAGAGTTGAGTAAACAGGTCTGGAGAGGTCTTAAAGGTTCCATCCACGACGAGGTGATCTGACTGATAGATGATGTTGATGTTGTCTGCAGTACCAAGGAGGATAGATCTTCTGGTGTTGGTGTCGTAGGAGGAGTCCCAGAGCAACATAGTGTCACCACCGGGAGAGGTCAGGTAGTTAGGAGGAATCACCAGGTCTTCTAAGGAGATGGGGTTGACAGGATGGGAGTAGGCTGCCATTCTGGCTCGTCTGACTAGTCGTGTCAAGGACTTGGGATCACAGTTGAGCCGGGACGAGGCTTCGAAGGATAGTCCAGCGACAGAGTCTGCAACAATCTGCTTGGATTAGAGGTGACCATCGTAGAGGACGTTGCGGCTGCCTTTCTTTCTGCCAGGAATAAACTAGATGGATGAAGAAGACATAGTGGTATAAGATAAACACAGGCGTTGCGGGTTTATATATTATTCCCGCTAGCTGATTGAGATACCGAGCATGTGAAGGTTCACATCACTGTATTGTCGTATAGCAGGTCATTATGGATGACTTGATCCGAACCAGTTCTCGTTAGGGCTCCTCGTTGCGTACGTAAGTCTGTGGATCACATGTCTGACAGGCCCCATAGCAAGCACTCCATGAGAGCACCGGCTCAGATCACGTTATGATATTAGACTAGTGAACTAAGATCAACTGGTAGGGATTGAGGTATATTTTAGGACTGAATCACTACCGAACTGAATCACTACCAGTAGTGATATTTGGGTGGTAGTGATTCCGTCCGGTAGGGATTCAGTCCTACAATCGTGTAATTGTATTGCGCGAGCGATTTTCAATCGCGCGTCCTGAAAATCGAGTCTAAAAATCTATCTTCTCCTACATTTTTTGAGCAATCACCCTGAAACTTTCAGGATATGTTCTAGGGATCATTTAGAAGAGAAGTATCGAGCCGAATTTTGAGATAGGCCTCAGAAAATTTTTAAATCGATTTTGAAAATCTTGGACCTCATTTTTTGACGATTTTTCATCCAAGATTTTCAAAATCGATTTAAAAATTTTCTGCAGAAAAGCAGCAAACAGACACCCTTCTAACCCTTCTAATCTGGAAACACTCTCCATTCCTGCAAACTATATGCTCTCTACCGACAATGAACCAGTGATGCTCTGGGACTCTGGATGGGACGAAAATACTCGACGATCTTTCCTTTAAGGGGGCCGGGGGGGGGGGTCTTCATCAAAATTCTCTCGAAATTGATTTTATAGTTGTTTCTGATAGAGGGGAGTGATATCTATCAGCTGCTTTTGGTCCCATGGAAAAATATTGTTCCTAGCCAAAATTATCGCTGGTCAAAGGTCAGCGCTCATGTGTAATTGTATTGCGCGAGCGATTTTCAATCGCGCGTCCTGAAAATCGAGTCTAAAAATCTATCTTCTCCTACATTTTTTGAGCAATCACCCTGAAACTTTCAGGATATGTTCTAGGGATCATTTAGAAGAGAAGTATCGAGCCGAATTTTGAGATAGGCCTCAGAAAATTTTTCAATCGATTTTGAAAATCTTGGATGAAAAATCGTCAAAAAATGAGGTCCAAGATTTTCAAAATCGAATTAAAAATTTTCTGAGGCCTATCTCAAAAATCGGCTCGATACTTCTCTTTTAAATGATCCCTAGAACATATCCTGAAAGTTTCAGGGTGATTGCTCAAAAAATGTAGGAGAAGATAGATTTTTAGACTCGATTTTCAGGACGCGCGATTGAAAATCGCTTGCGCAATACAATTACTCATGAGCGCTGACCTTTGACCAGCGATAATTTCGGCTAGGAACAATATTTTTCCATGGGACTAAAAGCAGCAGATAGATATCACTCCCCTCTATCAGAAACAACTATAAAATCAATTTCGAGAGAATTTTGATGAAGACCCCCCCCGGCCCCCTTAAGGGACTGCTAAGAACGCAGATCATATATTATATGGCGGACGCGGAGCATTGGGTAGATCATATCTCAAATTGGAAATGTTACGTATACAAATTAGTGAGTAACAGTTCATGAGTTCAGATCATGTCTCTAAATGGAAATGTGTGGAAATGTGTTGAAATCAGATGATAATTTCGGACAGATGTCGGTTTTTTTTCTGGTACCTTGAGTCGGACAGATCTCGCTGTCGGACACGAGTCGTGTTACCGACTTACCGACCATGTCACGGTGCAAAGGCTCAGGTTGTTGCACTTTTAACAATAACAATTTTAATGATTAACTGGTTTAGCTGGCAACCTCTGAGGTATGGATTTCGTCTCTACTACATCGGCTAAAGGTTTACTCTGTGGTTAGATTTGTCCCATTAGCTTCAATCAAAATCTATCGTGATAGTTAAAGTATTAGGAAATAGTTTGGCCCCACTAAAATCTTGTTTTAAGAAACACCAATAAAAGCAACACTTTTGGTTCATACCTTTACGTAAAAAAACATGTAACTTTTCACGTTTGTTATATCAGATATAATGGTCACCACGTCATCATTCTGTCGAGTCCAAGTTCCTGAAATTTAGACCCTTTAAAATCAAAATCGATGATATCAATCACAAACAATCTTCCTAACTTAACTTGTTACAATATTTTAATTGCATAACTTGACAAAGACTCACCACTACGTTCCCTACTGTAGCTTATGATATCAGTCAGTAACTCATTCATTCAATCGTTTAAAAACTGACTTTCAGCAGACAAAGCTCCAAACTTTTGCTATGCAGTCTATACAATGTAATTCAGTTAATATAATAATTTTAATAGATCCAAAATTAAATAACAATAAATCCAAGTTTGGTAACACGACATCTGTCCGACAGCGACATCTGTCCGACAGCACTATTTTCGTGTATTTGAAGTGATATCTCAAATTTGGCACATAGAAATTTATCCAAACTTGCACAAGTTATTTGTCTTAAAGCTATCTTACTATCTAGAAAGTTTCAAGAAAATCGTATCGTTGGATCTCCAGATATATGCTTTGGAACCACTGAAACAACCGAATTGGATATATTTTTTGTGTTTAAGGTAATATCTTAAACTTGGCACATAGAAACTCGCTCAAACTTACACAGATTATTCGTCCTATAACCAACATACTTTGTGGAAAGTTTTAAGAAAATCGTACGGTAGGATCCGACATAAACTATTGTCCAAATAACCTATTTTCTGAGTCGGACAGATGTCGCTGTCGGACAGATGTCGCCCAATCATAAAATAAAATTATTGAATGCCAGGAACTAGAAATAAATATACTGGAATACTGTGTTTCCCTGAAGAGGTCTTAATCTAATTGGAACCATCAAGGGGAATAAAATTAAATTATTGGATGCCAGGAACTAGAAATAAATATACTGGAATACTGTGTTTCCCTGAAGAGGTCTTAATCTAATTGGAACCATCAAGAGGAATAAAATTAAATTATTGGATGCCAGGAACTAGAAATAAATATACTGGAATACTGTGTTTCCATGAAGAGGTCTTAATCTAATTGGAACCATCAAGGGGAATAAAATTAAATTATTGGATGCCAGGAACTAGAAATAAATATACTGGAATACTGTGTTTCCCTGAAGAGGTCTTAATCTAATTGGAACCATCAAGGGGAATCAAATTAAATTATTGGATGCCAGGAACTAGAAATAAATATACTGGAATACTGTGTTTCCATGAAGAGGTCTTAATCTAATTGGAACCGGGGGAGCCGACGCTACAGGGGGAGCCGCGCACTTCGTGCGCGGCGGGTCATACGACGTATGACAATGGCACGAGCTACGAAGTAGCGCGCACCGGGCCAAATCATTAACAATGGTCAAAGTCGAATCCGCAAAGTTAAAGTTGCAAACTTTTGATCGGCCCGAAATGGGACTTTTCGGGAGATTTTGAGATAACTCAACAAATACGTTGTTTTAAATTTTCCTCTTGGGGTGGTAACGTTACTTTTAAAAAAGGAACATGTTACAAAAAACCGAAAGTCTCCAACTCTTTTACTTTCAAAGTTAAGCCCCATCCAGTATGGGTTTCTGGGTTTAAAATTTTACTTGTAGGTTTATAATCTACCAGGATGCGCGCCGAGTTTGGAATTGGACTCGTCGCGACGGTCCTGATATTTGAATTAACAAATAGGCGCAGTTTATATTTCCGCCAAAAGCACACTCCCCAAATTGCGCGCATTGCTGTAACTTCTTTCAAACTTCATGAATCGAGATAAATTATTTTGCAATGTATTCAGAGTTAATATATGCATTTATACAAATCACTTGGAATACTTTTGAAAGAGACGTACAAGCTCAAAAACGCTACTGACGTATTTCTACATAAAAAGCATAATCAATAATAGCGTGAGAAGATTTTGTCGAGGTTCCTCGAAAATGATTTTAATGTTTAAACGATTCCCCGTTCAATTTTGGTTAGAGAATGCCAACTTAGTGCACAATCAAGGAAGCTATAAACATATTTCGTACGTATCAAATTGGAGATGCTTTTGGCGGAGATATAACGTGCGCCTTAACAAATATCTTGTAGGTTTACAACCTACCAGGAGTCCTGGTAGATTGTAAACCTACAAGATATTTGTTGGACTCGTCGACGGTCCTGTATATGGAACAGATATTTTGCGAGTATCACCCGTTAACAAATATCCCAATATTTGAAACATATCTTTTACGAGTATCACCCGTTAAAATTTAACCGAAAATCGATCTGTTAATATTTCAAACAAATATTGTACGGGTATTACGTATTAGAATTATATTAGATAGTTGTAATAATCAAAAAAATACATAAAAAGTCGTGTCTCATCGGTGGTATTTTAGTTTTTTATTTGGTATATCAAAGCCGATCGCGCCGCGCATTATGTTGGCGACAGCTTCTTTCTTACTCGATACTGCAAATTTACTCCGCAAGCGATTCGCCTTTGATGCTATTTTCGGTAAATTTGTCCACAAGTCCATTCTCCGTTCACGACGTCTTGTAACCTTTGCTCATGATAGTTCTCATTGCCAACCTTAGTTATGTTTAATCGAAATAGTAAAAGAAGATACGAAGTCCGGACCTATAGCAATGAGGTCCAGTCTTATGGGGAAAGTAGCTCCAAACTTTTTGCTGGTAAATACATTTCCAGCTTACAAACCAACATTTATCTTATTAATATCAATCCGCACCGTCCTGTTGAATGTGGGTCTTGACGACTGACTGGTTGATCGTTGCTAAAGGGATTTAAAAAAAAACCCAATGACGTTCAATGTTCAGTTTGACCTGATGATGTCTCGAAACATGTATCTTCACGACGTACCATAAACTTTGCTTATCTTACTTAAACAAAAATGTTTTTGAAATCTGAATCAGCTCTTCACGGGTTCCATATTTTATATTTTTATCGCTAATTGTCGATGTGTGCCATGAACTTAAACTGGAGAATTTAGAAAAGGCTGTTCCTCAATCTGCAGTTCTAAAACCAGTACTGGCATTAACTCCTGTTATCACCCATCAAACCATATGCTCTCCGCAGTTTACTCCTCAGCAACCCTGTTACCTTGAAATACTGTTGTTTCATCCCCCCAACTTATAACGTTCAATGATATGACCTCATGACATGATTTTGTGACCCTCATGATATTGTGACCCTCATTACTTTTCTATAATCTATGCACAGTCCCAACTCCCATTTCCATGCTATCGCACTTAGATTAGATTAGATTAGATTAAGAATAATGACATAAACATCATCACTAGTTTTAAACATTCTTTCTGATTTCCTCATTATCAGAACTGTGAACATTTCACAGCCTTCGTCATTAAAAAAACAAACAAATTCTATAACTAACATAATTGTCATAATTTATTTACATATAAAAAAGTTTAAAAAGTTAAAAACCGTTAATTTAAAAATAAATAAATAAAAACAAATTCATGAGATATTAATTCCCTTTCTCTTGGCAACACGAGGATTTTTATATAAATATTGGACTTGTTGCTTCTTCTTTTCGATATAATTTACACCCTCTATTTTTGCTAAAACTATATTTGACACTTCCCAAAAGTTGCCTGTGTCTACTAAATTATTAGTCTTTTTAAATTCTTCTAGATTAATTTTAAAATCAATAACAGACACTGAATTTCTAACAAAAGATGGCAATTTATTCCAAAAGCTGATAACACGCTCTGATAGAAAATTATTAGACAAGGTTTTAATATTTCTATCAATATTGTTAGATTTAGTGCTAACAATTTTATCTCCCGATCTACTTAAATTGAAAATATCTTTTCCATACTCAACCAATCCATTTACAATTTTGTAGGCTTCAATCAAATCTCCTCTAACCCGTCTCTCTGCGAGTGTTGTAATCTGTAAGGCATCCAACCTTTCACTGTAAGGAAGTGTTCCAATATCATCAATAAGGCGTGTGAACCTTCTCTGGACATTTTCCAGTTCAATGATAGTAGCCCAATTCCCATGGCAGGCAGGTGGAGACCACAACTGAGCACAATACTCCAAGTGGGGTCTAATTATAGTTTTATAAACATTTCTCATAACATTAATTTCTCTTATAATGAGATTCCTTGTAACCCATGCAATCATACTGTTTGCTTTACTAATACAACTTTTAATATGTTTCGACCATTTCAAATCTGAAGAAGTTAAAACTCCAAGATCTTTCTCTGCTTCAATACATTCAAGTGTAACACCACTAAATACATATTCTTGAAGGGGATTTTCATTAAATGGAACATGCATTATTTTGCATTTGCTAGGATTAAACTTTAACAGCCACACATTTTGCCAGTTTTGCAAGCTTTCTAACATATTGAAAGTGCTTTCAGTGTCATTGGCATCCATAATAACTTTAAGATCATCTGCAAACAGTTTTGATATACCATTAATACAATCAGGCAAGTCATTGATAAAAATGACAAACAATAAAGGACCTAAGCACTTGAACTATGTATATTTGAAAATTAAGATATTAAGTGTTCTTTAATTGGTGCAGTTAAAGTTTCCGGTCCCTGGACGTCATAAACTTATTCCGGAACATGGGAATCATCCTGTGATGCCTGTGTTCTTCCCTCACCAGAATTATACGAACAGACTCATGTGCTGTACTTGGTTTTATTACCTATACCAATACTACTCACCTCACTTTCAATGTAATGCTATGTGGCTTCCTTGTCGAATGGACAATGAGTTCTTAAGCCTGTACTCAGATTGTGGTGTGATTCTCGGAAACAAGCTATTATACTGAGAATAGGGCACAGGCTCTGTTAAATATTAACCAGTCGCAGTAACCAGTGGATAGCTAGTAGTTTTTAATATTTAATTAAAACTTAGAGCTTCTATTCCCGGTAATGTGAGACGTTATTAAACGAGTCGGTCAGAATTTAAACATGCTTGTCTGCTGCTTGACAGGAGTCGTGGAGCAAGTATTTCATCTTGAAAACTGCCGCTCACATGTCACTCCCCCGTAACATGTCCATAAGCAAAGTTCAAATAATCAAAATTTTCGGAAGTATCGTTCACACGCAACATTTTGCAGGTTATTTGTGGTTGAACAGACCGCACAAGAAACAGAAATGGAAGAGAGTTTTTACCTGTCTGTACAGTTCCCCGGCCCTGACCTATCTCGTTTGGTGGGCCAACAAACACGAAAACCAGATCAGAGGATTCCTGCTGCTCAACGACTACGACGTTGTTCACTACTTGGCAAACAGCATCTGTATCAAACCTGTGAGTACTACTCCCCCTCATTAATTTCGTTACATTCGTTCCCATTATGTTTCTTTTGGAGGACATTTTCTCCTCTCCGCTATTATTGAATTACGTAATGCAGTTACATTATATGAGGAATTGTGTACCCTTGCAGTTTGCAATCATTGTTCGGTTTCGTTATTCTCCGAACTCCGGGACAAGCAAGGGCGGCTCTGTCAATTCACGGTTTCGATAGTTATATTACTGAACAATGGCTTGCTAAGTGACTTAAGTTGTGACCGCCAATGGGCCCAATGGGACCTAGACCTGTTACACTAATGTAACGATCTTATGAGTATTGAGGCTTGGCTCTTATAGGCAGAATTGAAGGCCGCAAGATATAAGCTTTTGCATCGGTACAATATTTAGCAATATTCTAATTTCTATATTAGCATATTTTCTAGAGCTTTCGCTGAATATGTAATTGTTTCGTCTTTTGTGGTCAGCACCCATTTAAAATTTCCAATTCAATACTCTGCTGTGTTTTGTGTTCAGGATAATAGTAGCTTTGAAACGTGACCACGTCCTCAGCCACACAGTTCAACTTAGCACCTTTCAGCGACCTCCAGGTCGCGTGATTTCTAAAAATTAGATTTATATCCCCCCGGAGAAAGCCTAATGATCGTGCTGGGGAGAACGCTGGGCAAGTTGAGGCTTGTAACTTTACGAGTTTTCATGTGGTCTATCGGCGGTAATTACCCCAGATTTACATTATATGCAACGGTAAATAGCGCGACCTGGTCTCTGCAATATACATTATCATCTTAATTATCACTTGTTTTTAATTTGCCAGGCTACTCAGCCACTGTGTGCTGCATCCTCATAGGTTCATTCCACAGCTCGTGACCCAAAATAGCCCGTACGATTGGCCGAGCAGCCTCAAACAATATCCGCATTTAACCTGGATCCTACCACAAAGCCATTGTGCGGCTCGTGACCTATCACGTGAGCAGTCACGTGATCTTGTTTCTAGTAAACGTTATGCCTTCCTCTTTATGCTCATAATTGTAATTTGTCCTACCATCTCATGATTATAATTATATGGTTTTGTGTATTGTTCTCAAAAATAAATGCGAAACCTCTTCTATGGCGAACGATCATGCTAATTATTACCAGGGCATAAGTTGAGCGTGTACACATAGAATAATTATAAGGGTGATTTTCGTGAGGGTTGTGTGCCGAAAGTAATACAGTCAATTAGCTTTTGCTTGGAAATAATCGAATATAATGTTAAGAATATAAACTGAGAAAAAGCTGCGTGAAGATCAGTCTAAGTCATCTCACCTCACTTTGGCAGTTAAAAAGTAAAGACTGCCTGACTTGGTAAAGAAAATACATACCACCACTTTTCAATTTGATCATGGCAGTGAATCACAGTCCCATGTTATGTAATTAGTAATTACACATTCTCTTGTATATGACTCTGGGTCGTATTTTAGTTACTAAACCAATGTTCGCAGACTATAGTTCATTGTCCGGATGAGATCTTGAGTTCTAATTATAAACTGGAAACTTACTGCCTAATGCTGTACCTGGTTTAGATTATTAAAAGACCGGAACTCAGCCGGATAATTTAAGGGCGTAAGGCGTCTCCCGAGTTAGACCAGCATCGTGGTGCTTCTTGTTTCGTAAAATTTAAACCCTTGTCCGAGAGAGATAACTTCAGAACACAGCATACACCTCACATTGAAGAGCTCTCCTGGCCTGCTGCGAAGAAGAAAACATAGAACAACATGACGTTAAAACGTCCCCGTTCCTTAGTAAAACGAATTAAAGTCCAGAACTATTCGGACTGACATGTGAGGTCGTTGTGAAGTGTGTCTGGACAGGGTCTGTAGACCGCCGTAATGTGGTATGTAACTTAAATTATATCCCACACACTCACAGACCAACTACAAAATAAGTTATAATAAACTTGTTAAACTCTCTGCCCGGAGAGAGATGAAGGTGTTAATTCAACTTTCTAGACTTTATGTGATTATTGTGAGATCATTGTTTGTGAAATTCTCACCTAGAGCACAAGAGAGACTCTAGAGTAAGACCAGGTAAACAATACCGTGCAAGTGGCAGTCATTGTCTTTTCTCAACTTATTACCGGTATAGTAGAAAGGTGCACATAGTTCAGAATAGCTATTCATAAAACAATGTAAATTCACCGTTTTATAGATAGCTCAAACTTGCCAGTTCAACTTACCATAGGTTAACCTATCATCACGTTGCAACTCTCTCTCCCGTTAAAGATAACAATATAAGTTATATATTATCATCGGTTGTTGGCAGATCATTCACCTAACAGCGCTCAACTCAGAGCTTCTCTCCTAGGTCCTACTGTGTGTCTAACTCTGGGAACAGCTGTTATCCCATATTTCATCACAAGAAACTCAATACACTGTCAATATATTGTCCTTGTTACAGAGAGACAGAAACACGTGACAACTTAGTAAATTATAATAGAGCTTGTTGTTGACAAGTTACCTCTTACTGGTTTTATATCGTATATTATATATTATATTTATAAATTATAGAGCTTATGTGGACTCTATTATGTTATTGTGGTGATAAGAACTTTGCACCATTGATATAAACGTGAATGGTAAGTGTGTAGGAGAAAGAATTTCTTTATTTAAGCGTCCTTTATTTTCCTCATGAAGAAGTTTTATACTATTCAAAGGTCCCCAAGAAGTAATAGCGATTGTTATACCCCCTGTTATAATCCAAGTCCTGTGGCGTCCAACATGAGTCTCTCTAATTAGTCCAAGTTACGGTACTGTTACATGTCACATCAGTTGATGAGGCACGGTACAGTGGTACACGCCGCCATTCACACTTCTCTATCCGGTCTTCAGACACCGTTCTGACTCCTAGCTCTCCTCTTCTTCAACCTAATTCTAATTATACATGTCTGTGTGTGCCCTTAACACGGTGTCAGCTCTTTTAAAAAACGAGTCCGGATGACAGTCGAAATGGGGATGAATGTTTAAAAGACGACTGCTCGCGAAGGGGGGGGGGGGGGGGGGGGGGGGTGTAGTGTACCCCACCCCCGCCCCCCCCCCCCCCGCTCATTATTCTCAACATTCGGTACTCGTTGTTGAATTTTAAAACGACCTGTAAATGTGGACGATTAGCGTACATTCGCCGCCGCTATTACAACTGATTATCATATATAGCTATTAGCTATAAGCGGTCACGCTCGACTGGTCACTGCTCCTCTAAAATGGTCACGTGTATTATTTACAGCTGTGTGGTTGGTCAAACGGTCGGGCGTCCCATTTCACCCATGATTATGGAACTAATTTCAGAATGAACCCATTATGGTATCTCCCTATCACTGTTACACTTTACTGACATAAGGTCTGAAGTGGGGCAAGCCCAAGCGTGCCCCCGGCCCCTGCCGCACTGTACATATGTGTGTCTTATATATCTTAAGTCTTAACCATAGATCCATGAGTCACGACTTAAATATGTTAACGGTAATTAAGAGATTCCTCGAATAGGAAGTACCATTACCACTTCAAACCTGTAAGTTCTACTGAGCTGGCTTATATGCCTCATCTAAAAATTAGATATCAAGTCGAGTTGACCAGATGTTTATCTGGGAGCCATTTGAACTTGCTATTGATTTCACGGACCACTGATTTTGACCACATGTGACGGTCACCTAGGTGCGGGAGTCTGTTCCAGACGATTATGTTACTCAAATTGTCTATTGTTATGAGTTATAATGATGACGCACACTGGACTCTCGCAGTGGTTCCGTGAGAAATGAGAAATTTAGTGTTCGTGATAAGTTAGTGTTCTTGATAAGTTTCAACTGAAAATAATAATACTCCATTGTGATATAAAGTTTTTCATCACAACATAATTGTTACGGGGTCTATACAAAAAGTAGTATATAATCATTGTCGGCATCTCACTATCATTCACCTGCTTTATATGCTAGAACTTCAAACCATGAATAAAGGCTCGAACAACGTCAATGAATGGTCAGTGACGATAGTCGCCCACGATCAAGCAGCCTATCCACCAGTAGTATGAGCGAGATTTCAGCAATTTCAGAGAGTTGCTCAGAGAGAGATTTGCTCAGAGAGAGAGAGAGAGAGACGGAGGTTAAACATTTGCGTAAGTGTCCTATATTATAATAAACCTGACACGCGTTAATCTTTCAGAATTGCAACTTAAGGGTTCAGATAATTCTGAAGGCGGATAATGCTAAAGACACTAATGATTGGATTACTCACCTCCGACGATACTCAACTAGAAACAAGTAAGTGGTTGGCTTTCCTGGAATTGTAAGATATTTGGATTCTTAGAATTGCTAGCAAAATAAAAATTGCGACAATTATATATATGTGATTTTACTGCCATGCTCTCTCTTTATCCGAGCGAGTATGTGGTTTTTAATGCACATACGAGCGTCTGCTAGTTGCTCGACACGAAATGCAACTGCAATACATTTTTACAAAGCAAGGTGTACAATCTAATTACTACGCCTTGCCTTAGCATCAAACATTACTCCTTTTGTACGTCATTTACTGACCATACTAGCCGGTGTCTCAGCTAATTGATTTTCTTTTGTCTTAAATAAAATTTATAATTTGGTAAAACTACTATCCGTTGATAGAAGCCCACAATGCACATACCATTCTATAACATGTGGAGGCCGAACACATTGTAAGCGTTCTCAAACTATGAGCTATCTGTACTTACCCCCGGCACTGGGCGACAGAGGCCAGCGCGGCACAACCCCTACATTTAACCGATATACTCCGGGAAATGTGTCGGAAGGATTAAAGATTAAAGATAGCATTCAATTTAACTGTTGCTGATAATTACCATGATGTTTAAAACTAAATTTGTGGCTTTGTTTCCATCTTTCAACAACCCCGCCATCTTTCATCGGGCAAGTTATCTATATTCTTCCGCCAATTATAAATAGCTCTCTTTGATTAAAATCACTGTTCAACACTGAGCTGATATATATGTGTGTAGTATTAACTAAATGTGGGATCTTGTTTTACGGATGGGCACGTTTTTGACACATTCTGTTTAACAAAACGGAAGTTACTGATCAGCTTGTCATCGTTGGTCAGGAGTAATTTGTCAGTTGCGGTAATTAGAGCTGTCACACAAAGGAGAATACGTTTGAAGATAGAATTGTTGAAAAGCGAAAGACCAAAGTAACTTTTTAGAGGAACCAAATTGAATCCTTATCTATTTAGTTGCTGTATCTGTATGTGATAACTTGTGAGACAGAAGTTCTACAGTTATGGATACAGACGGAAGAGTTAGTCCGTTTTGTAAACTGAAGCCTTTTTGAATATGTAGCGGCTGAAATATATCATGTATCGCTGTTCTCTTATGTCCGTATGCTCCAAACGGTAAAGTCGACTAAAATAGATCCCCTCTTCTACCTGCCAAAATTCTACCGGCCACAAAATATCCGTCCCATAATTTCACTTAAGAAACTGAAACCCTCTCCCTTGACTCTTTGTCTCTTTGTTCGACACCTCACTAATTCTCTTCTTTCCAACTTCCTGTCCAAATTGACGTCACAGAATCATATCTCGTGCCTTTCACCGTACTATTTAAATCACATGGTATCATAGGACATCCCTTAAGAGGCCTCTACCAAACAATTTGTCGCCATGGTGACAAACTTTGTGCCGCACGTATCAAAAACTCTGTGTCTATATTGACATGTGTGCTCCATTTCTCGTTACACAGTAACATATTACAGCTCAGTAAAGCTGGAAGATGATATCAAATCTCAGTAGAACATAAGCCTGAGCTCGACCCTGAACAATGAACATGGCGCTTCTACCAAACTTAATTTGTTGTCATGGTGACAAATTTATTTAGGTCGCAGGTATCAAAAACTCTGTGTCTATGTATTAACATCTGTGCTCCATTTCTCGTCCTTTTACAGTAGAACACACGTACAGAATGATGATATCAAATGAATGTTTGTACTGCCACATCACATACTGTCCACTGTCTAGCTAGGGTCTAGTTTGTACTCAACTTATGGAACGCGTAAACTTTGTAAAGCTCAAATGTCATAAGTTACCCAATTCTTAAAGTACAGTTATCTTAGTCTTACTTGGGGAAATGTGCAGGACTCGGTTTATTCTCATTCCCACGGTTCGTATAGTAATTATTATCCACATATTACTATATTTAGTAATTACGAATATATCCTTAAATATATCCTTGTTTTAACCCTGGTTTAAGCTTTAAATAGTTTGTAGTAATTAATCTTCATCTTCCCCACAGGACAGTTCAGCACTTGAATCACAGCAAACGCTCCTCTTTGACGGACGAAGAAGAAAGCTGCTGCGACGAAACTAACCGACACTATAGCTCCAATAACAGCATACCCTGTATGCAACACAGGTGAGAAAACTTATCTTGCTTTAACTTTTACGTATATATCTTTTAATTGTGCTAAACTACCAATATCTTTATCACTCATCCAGTCAGGTCACGTAAAGTAATGTCTCCGATAGTTGCGATTCATTTCACCTGGAAATCTCAATAAATCCGTTTTAAGTCAGTGTCTCTTCTCAACTGGAAAGCGTCTCACACTGAGACACCAGTTTTCTTATTTCAGTCTGTTCTATTTTATTATGTCCGGTATTCATCTTGATCGTGATTAGGTTTCTATTGTTCTACACTGAGCATTCGTCCCGTAGCTCCAGCGTTAATCCTGTTTTTATTCAGTTCTCAACATGTCTACCACCAATGGAGCGTCCCTCATTGAACAAGTCTTGCGCTCACTAATTAGTATTATACTCTCCCCCGGCCCAATGTTGGGACCAGATGTGTGTGCAATTGTTTTTATTAACTTCCCTAACTTTGGGACATTGCTGGAGGTCTAGAGCCACGTGTGACACTCGATAACGAAATTAGCGAGGTTGAATATGTGACTGGTGAACTGGGACTGAATAGTCTAAATGTTATTATGGCTTTAAAAAGGAATAGGGAAAACCCTTGTGCAATAATGCAATCCATATAAATTTGTTGCACGGTTTCGTTCAACACTTGCAGTTTATTTAGACTAGAAAAAGAGGTGGGTCCAAATTGATCAGATATCACTTTCAGTGTAGCAAAACAATGATGTTGAACCCATGACCATGTTTAAACTGTAATTATCTCAGCGGTAATTTCCTGTTTGTTGACATTTGCATCTTCAAGATATGATCTCCTATCTGCAGACCTACTATTTATATTACAAGTGTCTGGAAGTGGCTCCGGAAGGTCACTGAATAACTCGAGTAACCAAGAGCAGTGGCGTCCCTAACATCCCTGCCAAATTTAGTGTATTTCATAATGGTATTGATAAGACTAGCTACCCTGCGTCAGTCAGGCTATCTTTATTACAAATTACTCCTGAGACCACGCTGAGTTACCGTCAGGATGCCAGTTTAATCTGCCCTGAAATTGTCATGAACTCTCTTTACATCTCGAATTTCCAGCTTCATCCTGGCCAGTAAATCCCATGATTGACTGACAAGGCAAATAGCATTAGTTGAGCATAAAAAGAAGTTACAGTCCAGACGTTATGGACAAATGCAAGAGATAATCTTTTCGTATCGCGACATTTTAGTCTAAATCCCGTTTAATTCTGAGTAATTTGTATCGAAATTACTCAAAGTTAGGGTCTACCAAGCCATGTATGATGATGGTTAAATATCGAAATATATGTCAAGTATTCATCCTAATTTAAATTTTGTGAGACATCACCGGGCTTGCGCTACAGTCTATCTTTTATCGAGGCATCATCTGCATCATCATCATAAAAGTTCATTAGAGTTTTATATTTAGATCTATCTAATCCCCACATCCAGAAACACGCCATCTTGCAAGGCAGCCTGGGAGGAAATTTTATTTTTGGGAGGAAAAACGGGAGAAAAAGAGGAAATTTTTGAGAAGTTACTCCTAAATTTCGAAATATTTTTTTGGAATGAAGACAAATTAATTGAGGAAATTTTTGAAGAAAATATTTCGATTGTATAAAAATCAAAGAGGAACATCCTGTCAGTTTTGGAACGTGAAATATTCTGATTGGAGAATGCAGATTGCTGTTGTGAAGTTATCAAATTTACGTGAGTACTTGATTCTTTTCAATCCCAGTTTATTGCTGTCCTACAAATTTCTTTAATGCCAAATGCCGTCTAAAACACCCTATTTCGCAAAAAATTTCCGGGGGGCTGCGCCCCCAGACCCCTGCCACAGCTTGCTCGCTTCGCTCGCTGCGCAGCTGGATTGGACACGTCGACTTGCGAGCGAAGCGAGCGGGCCACAGAATTTAGAAAAAAACGCATCTGGGAGGAAATATAAAACTTTCTGGATGTGGGATCTAATCTATAGACTAAACGCTGGCACAACTTTTTCATATTCATATCCATTAGATCAAACAAAGAGAATGTTCCATGAGATATTACGTGCGGTTAAAATAGTTTATAACTCTTACAAACTCATTATCCAAACCTACCCGCCCTTAAAGATAATCGTTTTAACAGCTACTCACTAGAGCCTCTCTATTTGCTACAATTCCACCTCAACCACTAAATCAATTAACAACTCGATAAGTGGGTAAATGAAGCGTAAAGCGATGTATCATGTATCAATATCAGAAAAAGTAGAGAGAATTGTTAAAATTGAGAGTGGTACAGGATGCCACGCGGTGATTGGGTGTAGTCGGTTTACCGCTCTATTATTTAACTGCTAACTATCAGGTATTAAAATTTACAACAATTTACAACACGTAATTTCGTAAAAAATTGCTAACGTCACTTAATTTTTCAGCACCCAACTGGAAGGGGAAAAACTGGACAGGTTGAAAGTTTTGATCCACTGGACATATCTCTACAACGGGATCATCAGTAGACAAGATACCATGGACTCTTACTAAGAAGCCACTTTCTTTATGGAAATGTTAGAACTCGAATCTAGTGACTAGGACTGAAAATACACCCAGGTATAATTCACACACTTAAAATTTATATGATGTGCCAAGTGTTTTCGGGAAAAAATGTAATCGATATAATTGTAATGGATGATTTGTTAAAAAGGACGACGATATTGAGGCGAGAGTAGAATTTTAAATCTCACATAAAATCTGATTAAAACGTGTTTGCAACCATTATCAGTTCCAAATCTTCAAAATCGATCAAAAAGCATCGTGACCCCTCGCTGCTATTTGAACTCGGCCCACCAAACCCAATTTTTCAGGCCCCCAGATTTGGAGTTGATAACCTTGATTTATTTGTAGACTTAGCAGTTAGCAGTAATTACTGGTGATGGGGCGGCGGCAGAGCTCGATGTTCAGCCAAATTGGCGGGATATGTCGGCAAAAGGACCCGGTTGTGAGCTTTCCTCTCACAGTGGGCACTTCCGGTGTTCTTCCGTGCACTTCGACTCTGCTGTTAGACCCTGTAATTAGCAATCTATGTATACGTACATCGGTGTAGTTAACATCATCTCCAGGACCAGCGTTCTAGCTATCAAGATCTTATCTACATGGATGATATCCTGAGATAACATCTTGAGAAACATTGTCTTGATATGATACCTTGGCTAGTACCTGGTTTTTGGAGATGTTGAGCAGATTAGCGCTACAACAATTTACCACATGATGTTTAGTTGTCATGTTGACTGTACCGCAAATACCACCTGGTACGCACGCCTCCAATTATCTTGATACATAGCGCTAATCTGCTCAAACCAGCACAGGCCTGTGCTACTTTTCTTTTTCTTTAAATAATTAGTATCTATCAGATTATGATATGAAGTAAATATTCAGGAAGACCCTCTCTGTTAAAATTCGGTGAAACTGAGCTTTAAAATGTTGTTCATACACACTCACTGTCCTCCTCGGCGTCAGGAGAGGATATGTTAGTCGCTAGAGTTTAGAGCTGTGTACAAACAGTGTTAAGTTTATTTGTATGTAAGTGTAGTATGCAGTGCCGACACACGCGTTTGTGCTGGCTGTGCACTGGTCGAGAGTTAGATGGTAGCCTGGTAGCCTGGTTACCTGGCAACGGGGTGTCTCGAGTTTCTGTATAATCAGGCTTTATATCCACGACTATCACAATTGATAATGGCACGCTCTCCGTGTAAAGCCTCTTTTACATATTTAGTCTCGCCTATTCCGCTTCTTGGTATTCTCAATTCTAAGAATCCTGATAAAGAATTCCCGTCTTGTTAGCACATGCATTATTCAAATCTGACTTATTACCATACTAAACTGGCCCCAATAAATTCCTTGACATCCCTCCATCTGACATGCACGTGATCAAATTCCTAATTCCTCACTCCTACGCTCGTTCTATTAGCTACAAGCTAATCCTCGTCTAAAAATGTCCCATCTCCTTCTACATGTCTGTTAAAATGCCCCTCTCTCTCCTCCCTCCCTCTCTCCCCCCTCCTCTCTCTCTCTCTCTCCTACCCAAATGCCAGACACCCGGATACCAGACTCCCGACCTCTCTCTCTCGACTCAGCGGTGACGGATCAGTATTATTAAACTTATTGACAAGTCAACGTTTATAGTAATTGTTTAGCTGTTGTTGTGGCTCGCAGGAAACAGTGCGGTGTTATGAATGTGTGCATGTATAATAAACTACACGCGCGTGGTGTGCGTGTAGCCCAGCTCGCAGCTCAGCTGACGACTGACGTGAGTTAACACTGTGCTACACACACACACACGTACGATTTTCTTTCCCACAAGGCTTACACATAAAATGTTTTGTGTTATAGGTTGTGAGAAATGAAGGTAAATGAAACCTGCGCTTTTTAAGTGCATGTCAGAAATTGGTAAGAGGTTTTATGGTAATTGCTCTAATTACTGTTGGTAATTGCTCTAATTGCTGTATTTACTCTTGGGCATGGAATGTGTTTGAATTCGGCTAGGCCTTTCTGGCTGTTTTTCTACACATCAAACATTCAAGGCTTTGGCACTGCAGCGCCAAAACATTAATTTCCTGATTGCACCTCCGATCCCAGTCAATTGACAGACTTTGCCAACAAATATTTCGCGGAGTAATTAAGTATCCGCGGATATTTGTCTCCGTAGATTCTAAAATATAGCTGGCAGTAAATTTGGGAAATTTATCGTGTTCAGTCAGCTCAGTAATTTTTCTGGGCTCGTTTGGAAAACTAATTCTATAACACCGCTAAGAAACCTGTAAAGTCACAGGAATAGTCATCTTATCTTTCTAGGGCAAATTTTCTTCTTTATCTAGGATACAAATCTTTATCGAATATTATAATATGCTTAATACTAAAAATTTTAATTATCTATATAATATTTAATTAATATATATTAGTGTACTTGAAATCGTTTGTCGTGTTCAACGTATTTTTTGATCATCCTGATCCTGATGTTACTATTGATATTGAACCTTAATTATGATTATATAATAATATAATAATACTCTACTCTAATTTTCATGGAATTAGATTATATTAGAAATGTTCTTTGATTGGCCAACGTAATGGTAACCCGATATCGCATTTCAAGACTGGTTGCCGAGGAGAATCAAGTATGCCTTTTTCCGTTAATTTGGCATATTAAATGCAATATTAACAATATATGCAATTAATAAATTGAATTATTCAAATTATTTGACTCATTCAACTTTGAAAAAGTAGCAAATATAGATTATAGAGGTAACATAGTTGGTAGTTAGTAGTGTTAGACTTTGTGATGACTCCAAAATGTGTGTTTAGCAAGCTAGGACTATTTTAGCAAATTAGTTTATGTGTTTAATTTTCAAAATGTCGCGCACATTTTATTTCAATAATGATAGGCAAAATTATGATAGGTCACAAGTTTGACCCTTGTCTCAGTAGGATTAAAATAGGTTAGTTAAGATTGATATTATTTTGTACTCTATGTTAGCGTTTGAAAATGATACTTCTGGAGGACAAATTGACTGCGGGAATCTTAAGAATGCCCTATTTAAACTTCTAATTCCTCGTTCTGATACCTGTAGTATCTTTCTAAAACAGGGTATTTTTAGATTTCTGGAATGTTTCTCTTTACGTTAATATTATATAAAAGAATTTGTAGAAGAAGACACGCTTAATTAATGTAATATGTGGATCTTCTTATAAAACTAGAAAATTATATTATAGTCATGGATATGTGCTATACGGTTTAGCTATAACATTGTTATAGTGATATATTTGAAATTCCTCAATGTTTGAATCCCTCAGAATGAACAATTGGTGCCTTTAACCCATGGAATTTGATCTTAATATTTGGGATGGATGACTCCGAGTCATCAAATCAATTCGCTACCAATTATTAGTCCAGATTTAACGAATGTTGTTGCTAGAATGATATGTTAATTTTAAATTGTCAGAATTATATGAATCAACAGGAATGCTTCAGAATACCATAAACAATCACTTTGTTCACCACACAAATCACTGTCACAAAGACACACTTTAATGGTACCAGTTTCATTTGATTGAACATAGGCGACCATCCCTTTACTCGCACATGGTTGAAACTTTACGACATTTTACGTCTGGACCAAGAAACATATTATCAACATATCAACATACATATTTGCATATTTTTTGCATATGATTTGCATATTATTTGCACATTATTTGCACATTATCATCACCTTCATCTTTCACTCACCCTCACCATCGTTAGGAATGTTTTCACGAAAATTCTAATCGCACTGCTTTTAGGCTCCGGGTAGGTTCGTAATTAATTTTAATTTTTTAATCAGCTTAAGTTATTTATGGGGGCAGTCTGAAAACGGCACAGAAAGGCTTTGTGAGAACAAGCTCACTGCAATTTAAAACACGATTGGCATTTTTCTTCAGTGCCAGATGGATTTATGGTATGACTTTTGCATTAGGTCACGACCTTAACGTGGCTTCAACTCCTACAAACTTGGGAAGCTTTCAAGACAGCAGAAATGTTATGCAGCTCTGAATTCTGACCTTACAGATCAAAGAATTTCTCATAACATCATAGCCAATTTCTGTGCCGTTACCTGCCGCCCAATAGTTAATTAATAATTGATACAAGAGTGTACATATATGATAGAGATTGTCATGCAAAATATTTCCACCAAAAAGTTTGTTAATGAAAGAGCGTTGAACCACGGGACCCGATCAGACACTCTTTGTAACCCCTAAATGACAGCGTACAAACTATATTATATCTAGTTTTTGTCTACCTTTTCATCAGCTAATTGGTGTAGAATGTTCGAGAGGGTACACAGAAAGAGCTGTCTGAATCGTCCCGGTCACCAATGTCTCGTAACAGAAACGGTTCTCTTTTTCATGATATCAACGTCTCCAAGTGAATAAAAGTTAACTTTCAATCGACACTCTGAGATATATTAAGACCGGTTGGTTGGTGAAACGTACACACACGGCCACCACACAGACGCGTATATATAATTCCAAGAAATTGGTAAAATTTCTTATCCCCACAATTCTACAGTACGGCTGTTTCCTAGGCCCTGGTTTGTTAGGCCACGGTTTACGTTAATGTACATCCGTCTTATCCTCGAGACAAAGGTATACGTTGCGTATTGGCGAAGAAAAAGATTGTTCTAGAAGTTGTCAAGTCTAGCCGAGGTCTACTGCTGTGGAGATACTTGTGCAACGGGCACAGTTAGGTACCATGCAATACCATGACATAATGGTTATGTATTCTCTCATTAAAGCGATCATGTATGCTCTCCACTCCCCGCAATAATTCAAAGTATGCACACTCCCTGATAACAACATGGATTATATTCTTCATAATTACACTTAATAATACACTGATATCTCACTTTCGTGACACACGTGTACCAGGACTGTTGTCAGTAGATTTTAATAGCTTCTGCTCCTTTGATCATGTCCTAATTGCTAGTCGAGATATCAATGTACCTGTGTCCTAAGATATCCTTTGATCATAACGTAATTCCAACTTAAGATATCGAGAGCTGCACCTAAAATGACCTTGAACGGCCTTTGATCAGTTAGCGATCGTTATGGGTCTTTAAAAGTATTCCCTATCTTGCAATGATTATCATTCATTCCTCTGATCTTATTTTTCAGACTAATGATTGATGAAGAATAAAGTTGCATACTGTAGCGGTAGACCCCAAAGGTTCATCAATTCGTATGGCCGTTGCCGACCAATGCTAATATTTGATTCTAAATATAGCGAGTTCATTAGCGAATTCTTACTCAAAGTTGTATTTCGCACAAGTTGATGAATAAAGTCCACCGACCACGAGGATCCCATGATTTTGATTAAAGAATACCCGTACTGTAACCAGACCTTTATAAAAACAAGACCTATAAAATAATCTGGAATATGGCCAAGTGCCGTAAATTGTGTGCCCAACCACCAACCGGTCTTAATAATCTCGAGATTAGAAATGATGAGAATCTTTGATAAATTTTTGAAGTTGCGTGAAATTGTTTGTTTGTTTAAACGTTAAAACCCACCAAATTTTTTTGTGTTTCATTTGTTTAACATTTAAAAGTTTAAAATATGTTTGATCAAACATGATCCCAAAATATGCAAGATAATTATAAATAATGACATTTCGAAATCTACCAGATTAAATCAATTTCAACAACAATCTAAATTATACACTATTGTCTGGATGTGAGTAACTTCCATGAAATTAATGTTTGTTATCCTAAAATACCCACCAAATATACAATAATATCACTTAACGGGGAGTATACATATACACACAGTGTTCACCAGTGCAACTATTACATACACACTACACCTAATTGTTCCCATATATTATCTTAAAATAGCTCGCATTATAAGTGCGAACAGGTAGCAACAAATTTGCACTACGATCAATGTCTGGGAAAGTTTAAATAAATGCTTTGTTTTACACGCGTCCAAAGAGAGTGAGACCAGCGTCATGTTTAAATACCCATCATATCAGCCGTATTTCAGCAGATGCCGTGCATATTTTCAGCAGATACCGTGCATATTTTCTGACGTATTTCGGCAGATGCCGTGCATATTTTCAGACGTATTTCAGCAGATACCGTGTATACTTTCAGACGTATTTCAGCAGATACCGTGCATATTTTCAGCCGTGTTTCAGCAGATACCGTGTATACTTTCAGACGTATTTCAGCATATACCGTGCATATTTTCAGCCGTGTTTCAGCAGATACCGTACAAATTATCAGCCGTGTTTCCGCAGATACGGTGCATACTTTCAGACATATCTTCAGCACTCAGCAGATACTTTTCCTACATTTTGAATTAGATAGATCTTGGACCATATACACAAACTATGTAACTGTAGATCTCATCTTGCTATAATCAGGGGGGGGGGGGGGGGGGGGCAAGTGGATATTTGTAGATATTTGGATAATGTCATCCACTTTTTTCGTAAATTATCCATTACAATAATCTACAAATATCTACATTTATCTACAAAAAATGTATATCTCAAATATGTGCCCAGAAATTCTACTGAATTTTTGGAGATAAATGTATAAATTTGTAGAATTTGTAGAATTTTCGTGAATTATCCATTGACAATAATCTACAAATATCTACATTTATCTACAAAAAATGTAATCTCAAATATGTGCCCAGAAATTCTACTGGATTTTTGGAGATAAATGTATAAGTTTGTAGAATGTCATCCACTTTTTTCGTGGATTATCCATTCTACATTAATCTACAAATATCTACAAATATCCACTTGCCCCCCCCCCCCCCCCCCCCCCCCCTAATCAAGAACAGCAACTCTCACATATTAACAACACTACATATCTAGACTTCCTCATTGTTTCATCTCCCTTCTCTCAATACACGTCTAGTCGAAAGTTTATAAAACTATCCCAACTAAGCCTTTCTCTGTCTAATAACTATAAGCACTGTGACGACAGTCAGCCCGCTTGAAAGAGAATGCCTGGGTGTTCATTATCTCAATATCTCTCATTCACCACTCACACTAATCAACGTAATTAACTCTAATTAGCCTAATTAGCCTAATCACTGACGTGAGCTGATATCTAATGACGATAGGACTCCGTTACTGGCTCTCGCTCACTGCGCATGTGTGTGTGTGTTAGGTAACAATTGCCCGTTTATCCGGTGTGTTAGCCGTTAGGCGTGTCATTGGCGGAAGAAAGCGAGTACCGAGTTAAAGAATGTGCTCAGTCATGGTGATCTGTGAGCCGTGTAGCTGGCTCGTGGTGACGCACACGAACAGCTTAGTGACGTCACTTCTCTTTCAGTGTGGCAGAACATTAGCAACACATCTGCTTTATACCTGTCTGCTGATGTGCGTGCATACAGAGAGCATTGTTCGGTCATCTCTATAATTGATGGCGTTAGCAGTTATATCACTAATGTCATTTCTATTCACTGTGTTAATATTCAAGACAGCTGAGATCATCACATCGAAAATTAAAACGCCGGTCAAATCCACCGGGATAGTCACGTAAATTCTGGAATTTTTTTACCGGAAAGTTCTAATTTCAACATGTTCACCAGTCTTTGTGCCGCAATGGGAGCAGGGGCCTTTGTTAGGAACACCTTATATCATAATCAATGTTACCGTCAACAGGACTACTCCACTGATTACATGAATACGATAATATTTACGCTTAAATGATAATAACATCGCCAAAAAACATAGGGGGTATGTTGGGAATGTATTAAATCATGCCCGTTGAAGACTTAGTGGGCCTAATTGGAGGCACTAACTGCACTGTAAAATATCATGTGCAGTGTTGGTGGTGAAGTGGGGGTACACAGGGCCCGCTCTCAAAGGGAGCACGGACAAACAGTGGTCACCTTGTCGGCTGTCAAACGATCAGCCGAGCTGCACAGTGCAACACAGTGACAGTGTGTAGGGGCCGGCTGGGAGGGCCGGTGTGTTCCTAAACTGTTTGACTTGTGATACGTCAAATTGTTTGAATCTCTGAGAGAGCATGCGCTAAAGCGTGGTAACAGCCGGGACTTTAACATGACTGTAAGAGAGCCTGTGATGTAAACGCGACAGTATATAAAGAGTTGCCGATCCTGTCTTTCAGGAGTTACCGATCTGAAAACTGGTACTAATAATTATTATCTACTGATTTAGAGAGAACATCCTGCAGTCCTCTGCAAATTGCGGTCTCTCACTCAAGACACAAAACCGGGTTTAATACATCCTCGGGACAAATTTTCCTTGTTTGGAGCTCTCGAATCAGGGTATTTGCCTGCAAATTGACGCCCAAAATCTGTCACCTCAAATTGGAGACTTAGGCAAAATGCCGGAAACATTAAATCAATAATATTGTATCCCGGCACACATAGCCGTTAGAAATCTCCAGCTTCCTGCAGCAGCCCCAAAATAACACCGCTAATGGGTGGATACATGCTAATGCGAGCTTCTGGAATCGAATTTTTGGTTTCAGCTACGACTCAACTGTAGGGTATCATACCACTTCTGCTAGCTAAATGTTACTTTTGTGTTGAGCATAATGGCAGTAAATTGCTGCGAATTAGTTTTTAAAGTATACTAAGAAATAGCTTTCCACTTCCGAGAAGCATTAATATAAACGGTTCTTCTTTCTTATGGCGATCATGGCAGCAATGTAGAGCTTAAGAATATATTGGCAGCAAGCGGCAGCGCCGTCCGGTATCATTGAGTACATTCGTATTTCTGATTCCCACGGTTCAAGTTTTGAAGTTTTATCTTAAAAGCAGTGGAACTGCCAGGTTTGGTCAACTGAAAGTATAAAGTCTACTTCCTGTATACTGTACCACCTGCACGGCCGCGGTGTGTACCAGTCTAGAATACAACTAACCGTAGTCAATAAGCTTCAGTTAAATAAGGGGTGTGTTTGCTGTGTTAATAAACATTCCAAGTATGTGATTAAACATTTCAAGTATTTGTCCAGTTACCACCTCCTGGCACTTGTGATATGTAGAGTTTAACATGTGTGTGTGTGTGTGTGTCCTAGTACTTAGTAAATATCTTGTCACGAGAACGTGGTATTCATTTACCCAGTACGTGGTGTGTAATTGGTTTATTAACCTAATTTCCTGCATTAACCACGTACATAATTTAACCGTTTCTTTTCTATAAAGGATACAATTTAAATAAGAGATATGATGGTATTTAATCATGGGGTGTCAACCTAGTATGTTGGAAAGTGACAATCATAGGTTATTGGGATTACACACAAGTGTAGAAATCAACGGAATGGAATCTGTTTTACTTTTAGCTGAATCAGTATGATAAATTATGCAAAACTTTGTCTCCATACTTTTCCCATCTAAATATTAAATGCTGCATTTGTCAGGCTATTATTCAAGAATCAAGATATGTCATGTGAAAAATTGTCGAAGAAAGCGAAAAGGCATATTGAATAGTGTGCTGATCTTAATTTTGAAGCCTCTCTGACAAAATGCAAGGACAGTCATAATATGTAGGTATCATAATCAATTGCTTTAATGATAAATTCTGGATATCAAAAACGTCGATAGCAATGATGAATAATGATGTAGATTGTAGAATATGTTTTGACCTGTCAGAGAATTGCTTAAACATATCGGTTTGGGTGTGTAAATGTCGTGTGATGAGTTCTAAACTTTTATTTGTATTTATAATAAACCTCCACCATCTTAACTATCATCTCATCACATTACTTTTAATGTGGGGACGATATAAATATAATAATTATATAAATATACACACAGTCAGGTGATGCTAATAACTGTTCATTATAATTATTATATTTATATAAATTTTTTATGTCCACCGATATAATTACTCCGGTCACACAGTGCACTATGGTCATGAAATTCCTCCCCTTTGTGTGTCTACAATATTTACAAGTACTTAACATATTCTATTTTTATCTTATAATAGAACCGCGGACAAATTACCAATACATTTATGCCATTCTTCGGCTAATGACACACGAAACTCACAACTTTGTGTTACATTTCCATTGATATTAGAGAGAAACAAAAGCAAGTTTCTCAATAATGATCCAACATAATATTATATGCTTCTCTCTTGTCCCCTGTAATTAGTTTAGGAAGTTGGTGAGATGAAACATCGAAATATCTTCTCTCTGTTAAGGGAAGAAACGGAGGAGTCATGTAATTTACGAATGTTTATTAACCGCGCGCTATTATAAAATGGCAAGATCTTTTAAACCACTACCTGATTTTGCTTGTAAAGATTCTCTTTCTTGATTAAATCTCCATTAAATTTAGCTGTGCGCGGAGGAGTGAATTAGTCAGCACGTCGTAATTTTATATAGTAATTTCGAATGAGTTGCGGGGGAGAGAGAGAGGTTATGTTCATATTTAATCTGCATAAATTTAAGGTAAATACCATAAATTTATGGTAAATACGGGCATAAATTCAGGTAATTATGCGTTGTTCGTATCATTAGAGGTTGGAATGGGGTATTGTTCTGACAATTTAATTTAATTTATGACATTACATATTATAACCCCAT